CTATTGTGTGTATATGATGTGCATGAGTGCCTGAGTGTGTGTGTGTGTGTGTGTGACAGCTTTGGTTCAGTGAGACCCTATCGTGGGATCAGGGAAAACAAGAAAGATAGGCTGAATAGATGTTTGTTCAGGGAGAAATAACTTACAACCGAGACAGATGAATACTAGCATGTTCCAGTCCCAAGGATGCCTCCGGATGCCCTGTCTCCATCCAGGAAGCCAGAGTGCTCCAGGGTCCCCTACCCAAGACCTAGTTCTCCCAGGTCACCTCCACACCTGTCCGCACCACGCGGTCAGTGCAATAGGTACAGACAGAGTGAATATCTCACTACCAGACCCTTTCTCAAGAATAAAGTGGAAAGTGATAGATACCTAATGATGGCCTCGTTCCTCCACATGATGAGCACCACCCTCCAAAATTGGCCTGGCTTTGACCTTACAGTTGACTTTTCTTCCTGAGATGGAATTATGGAAATGTATCACTCTCACCTCACCTCTACATTTTCTAATCAAAAGACTTCCACAGACGTCACAGATGTCTTCCTCCTTTCAGTCACTAGAAATTTCATCTTTCTAATTACTCAGGCCAAAACCTTGAGGATATCCTTTCTGCTTAATCTTTGGTCCCCTTCCCACATCCTATCAGCCAAGAAATTCAGTTTACCTTATGTTCAAACTTTATGAAAAATTGGACTACTTTATCACTCCATTGCTATACCCTGTTCAAGATGCCATTCCTAGTTGGGCATGGTGATGAGTGCATTTAATCCCAGCACTTGGGAGGCAAGTGGGTTCCAAGCCAGGCAAAACTATATAACAAGACTTCGTCTCAAAAAATAAAATAAAATAAAGTAAAAAGATGCCATTGTCTATCATCTGGGCTATTTCCTAATTGGTCACCCTGCTTCCCAACCTCCTTAGCTCTCCACATTTCATTCATACCAGAACAAAGTGATCATGAAAGAGAGCATGTGTGTGTGTGTGTGTGTGTGTGTGTGAGAGAGAGAGAGAGAGAGAGAGAGAGAGAGAGAGAGAGAGAGAGGGAGGGAGGGAGAAAGGGAGATGCAGAGAGGGAGAGAGAGAGAGGAGGAGAGAGGGAGAGGGGGGAGAGAGGGAGAGATGGAGAGAGGGAGAGGCTCTCCATCTTATTTTTTAGGCAGGGTCTTACTAAACCTAGAGCTGTTTGGAGCTAGATTGGCAGGCCAGCAAAGCCAGAGGATTTTCCTGCCTCTATCCCCACTGTGCTCAGATTACAGCTACACACCACTATGACCAGCTTTTACTTGGATCCTGATGATCTGGAATCAGGTCTTGTTTATAACACCAGCACTTTACACAATGAACCATTTCCCCAGCCCTCGGAATAATCCTTTTCAGAGCATAAGGTAAAGCACACTGCTCCTCTGTGCTAAACCCTGCCATTGGTCCAGACAGCAATTATAGAAACTCTGAACCCCAGGTCAAACAAAGCCTGCACCTGACGCCATCACTACCTTCCTGCCCCGATACTTTTCCTACTCTCTTTTCTTTCTTTCTGAGACAGGGCCTCACTATATAGTCTAAATTGGCTTCAAATTCACAATCCTGCTCCTGCCTACCTAGTAATGGAATTATAGGCATAAGTCAAAGTCACCATGCCTGGCTGCCTCAACCCTCTCTCTCTCCCCCCTCCTCTCTCATTTAGTTTGGTTTGGTTTGGTTTTTCAAGACAGTTTCTCTGTTTAAACAGTCCTGGCTGTCCTGGGATTAGCTTTTGAACTCTGCCTGCCTCTGCTCCCCAAGTGCCCGGATTAAAGGCCTGCACCACCACAGCCCAGCCTACCTCTCCCATCTGTGCTTTTTTTGTAAACTGGCTTCCTAACAACTCCACAGGCATGGCAGGGATACTACCAGGACCTATGAAATGACCATCCTCGCTGCCTAGGTCATTCCCTCCAATAACTGCATTCTGCATTCCACTTCCTGCAAGTGTGAGCTCAGATGCACCTTCCAGGCAAGGGCCCACCTGACCATTCAGCTTAGTGCTTTTTTTTTTTTTTTTTTTTTTTTTTTTTTAATAAATTTTACATCCCAGCCGCTGTGTCCCCTCCCACCTCTTTTCCTTGTCCCTCCCCTCATCCCCACTCCATTTCTACCACCCCCCATCCACTCCTCCATTTCTGTTTAGGAAAGGGCATGTCTATGAATATCAACAAAACATGGCATATCAAACTGCAGTAAGACTAGGCGCCTCCCCGTGTATTAAGGCTGGGCAAGGTAGCCCAGTGTGAGGAATAAGGTCCCAAAAGCCTGTAAAAGAGTTGGATAAGCCCCTGTTGCCACTGTTAGGTGTGACACAAGAGGACCAAGCTACACAGCTGTCACATATATGCATAAGGCCTTGGTCAGTCCCATGCAGGCTCCATTATCATGGTTTAATAAAGATCAGGAGAAACAAATAGGCCAAATAGATGTTTATTCGGGGAGAAATAACTTACACATAGATGGATGAACACCAGCAGGTTCCTGGTTCCAAAGATGCCTCCAGATGTTCTCCTGTCCGGGTGCTGGAAGCAAGAGAAGCTCTCCCAGGCTCCTCCTCAGACCTAGTTCCCCCAGGTAACTTCTGCCCGTCTCCACACCCGATGGGTGTGGTCAGTGCCACAGATGGCAGACAAAGTGAATATCTCACTACACGCCATGGTTGTTGGTTCAGGCTCTGTGAGCCTCTATGAGCCCAGGTTAGTTGATTCTGTGAGTTTTCTTGATGTGTCCTTGACCCTTGGCTCCTATAATCCTTTCTCCCCTTCTTCTGCAGGATTTCTCAAATCCACCTAAAATGTTTGGCTGCGGGTCTGCATCTGTTTTCCATTGGTTGCTAATGATGCCTCTCTGATAACAATTGGGCTAGGCACCAATCTGGTCACAGGAGATAGCCAATTCAGGCTACATGTCTGCTATTTCTCGGAGTCTAAGCTGGGGTATTCTTGGGAGAGTCCCTTGTACCAGGTTTTTTAACCTGATCCCGAAATGCCTCCACACCCCATTTCCAGTTGTCTCTTTCAGTATTCCACCGCCCCCCCCCCCAACCTGATTGCTCGTGTTCGATTTTTTACAGCCACTTTGGAAGTCAGTGTTGCAGTTTCTCAGAATACTGGAAATCCACCTACCACAAGGCCCAGTGATACCACTCTTGGGCATATACCCATAGTATATTCCATCATATCACAAGGACACTTGCTCAACTATGTTCATAGCAGTTTTATCTGTAATAGCCAGAACCTGGAAACAACCTAGACATTCTTCAACTGAGGAATGGATATAGAAAATGCGGTACATTTACACAATGGAGTATTACTCAGCTGTTAAAAAACAAGGACACCAGGAAATTTAAAGGCAAGTGGGTGGGACTAGAAAGGATCATCCTGGGTGGGCAAACCCAGACCAAGAAAGACAAGCATGGTATGTACTCACTTATAAGGGGACATTAGCTGTAAAATAAGGTTAACCATGCAACAATCCACAGGCCCAGAGAGGCTAGGTAACAAGGAGGTTCATGGGTGAGCACCAGACCTTTGTGGGAAGGGGAAACACTTTGTGAGTGGAGTGAGTGCAGGTGGAGATGGGGACATGAACGATCAGCTTATGCTTCTTAAGCCCTTTTCCTGCCCCCACCCCAGGTAATTTTTAAAATCACTGTTCTACATGGTTTATCTAAAAAACTCATTTTGTGGGATTGGCTTGTTATGTTGCTCAGGCTGGTCCTGAGAATGTGACCGTCCTGCTTCAGCCTCCTTAGAAGTTTCTGTCCCACACAGCTTCAGTTCACTTACTTAGTTTTTCTGAACAGAAGGGAAACTCTGACAGGCTCAGTTCTCTCTCTAGTGCTCAAACAGTATTTGGTACACAGGAAGGGGTGTGTATGCACACGTGTGTGTGTGTGTGTGTGTGTGTGTGTGTTGAATTAAAATGATACGGAGAGCAGGCAATTAAGGAGGGTCTCAGAGAAATCTGACTTTTGCTCAGGTGTAACTAAATACAATGGGTAATGGGAAAACACCTTAGAAAATACAGATAATCACACTCATCTTTCATTTCTTACAAACTTTAATCAAGGGGACTGAACCCAGACCCTCATACACAGGCAGCAAGCGCTCACCACTAACCCACATCAAGAGAGGTCTCCCCATTTACTGGATGGAGAAATCCAAAGGCCCTGGAAGTTTGTCTCAGTTAAGCTTTCTAATACACATATCGTTAGATTCTAACTAATGTGTCTGCCAAATACCCTTTCTGGTAAATTGGAATGTCTAGTTACATTCAATTTTAACTGATGACTGTCAAACACTCTTTCCTGGCAAATCCCAGTCTCCACAAATAGCTGCTCTCCCAAAGCAGCTAGGATTCCATATACATTGACTCTGCACTTAATATGAAAATGACTGTATTATCATCATCTCAAAGCACCCTGACTTGCCTCTTTAGTCCCACTCTTCTCTGTATCAGCCCCACTGGCCTTGCCTTGAAAGGTATAAACAATTCTCCAAACCAGGACCTTGTATGAACAGGGTCACAGGCTTACCCTGAAAGCTTCAAGTAGGATAAGGCATGTTTTCCAGTAGGTGTTTACAAATAGAACACACATGAGAGAGAGAGAGAGAGAGAGAGAGAGAGAGAGAGAGAGAGAGAGAGAGAGAGAGAGAGAGAGAGAGAAACACCATACCCATGGAAGGAGTAAGGAGTACTGGCTAAGGGCTGAGGAACCCTCAACAATAGGGGTGAAGACATTTATCCCCACAGGCTAGAACTGAGTTGGAGAACAGTGTACAGAAGGCAAAAATAGCTGGGCACATCACAGGAGATTTGGAAAGGAAGAGATCCAGCAAGGCAGACATGTTTTCCTAAGGCCTGGGTGGGTGGCATGGTCCTGGAGTTAAAGGCACATTAGAGTATGCACAAAGGAAAGGATTTTCTCTGGCACCAACAGTGATGAAGCTTACTGATTCAAAACATCATGAATCTAGGGAAATGAAGGAGCTTTAATATGAAAATCTCTTCTTGTTTCTTGCTCATAGGGAGTTGGCAGCTTATCACTCTTTTTTCAGTCTCTTCAGCTCTCTGCTGAGTTAGTAGCTTGGGTAGGAGAATAAGGAAGACTTGGCAACAGAGGGATAGTGCAGGCTGGAAGAAGAACCCCAGGAGCCTGGGGGTCATGGGCTGTGGGTTGGCCTCAGGAGGTGGATGAGTTTCCTGCAATGTCTGGAAGAAGCAGGCCTGGTGCTGCTATTCGGCAGTAACTGATTCCCCAAAGACAACAAGGCTAATTTCTCACTGGCACCCAGGGACACCAGCACCTGTGGGATAGGAAGCAAATGGCAGAATATGATGTAAGGGTGAGAAACTGGTGTCGGCACATGCAAGGGATCCCCCTTTAACCAAGGAAAGGGAAAGGGGCCTTTGGGGAATTCAGGGTAGACTGATCAAGACAAGGAATCTCAAACAGCTATAAATCAATACTATCCCGGTGTTTATTTACACTCTCTTTGGTACTGCCCATAAAAACCAATGCACCAGGTGACCCGGTCCCTTGTTCCCAGTAAGAGGTTAAGGAAAGCAGCAAAAGCTGGCAGAAAGCCTGGGCACTTGCTTCCCAGTGGGTCCCTCATTTCTGACCTCATCTCTTTCATTGTTTGCCCATATGGATTACAGAAAATTCTTTTAGTGCCAGCACCATCCTGTCAAATACCTGTGGTTCTAATGCTATCACACTGACCTACTCTACTGTGGTCTCTCAGATGTGTGATTCCCTCTGGGTTCTTCAGAGATTCAACATTAAGCCAAAGAAGCAAAATAAGATGGTATTTGATGAGTATAGGCTGTATACCCAGTCTCACCTAGTGGCATTGGGACTTTGACAAATCATTAAATTACTTATGCTTCAGTTTGCTCACCTACAAAATGGGGATAATAATAGCTTAAACCAGATAGTAAAGGTAAAATGCTCAGAACGGTACTAAAAGCAACAACAGTTGGCGTCTTTGTGGCCTCAGTATCTTCTGGTTTTCCCCATCTCCCTCCTGTTTTGTATCTGGAAGAAATAAGCTGAGATCTTGGGATCTCAGGCATGTCCTAACTCAGGGAGCTTTCCAGATCCCTTCTCTTCACTAGGGTGGGTAATGGTAAATGGGAAACCTATCTCCAACATACTCTCTTTGAGTTTCTTACACCCAGACAGGGACATATTTTGCATCTCTAGGTGTCTTAGGTCCTCACAAATCAGAGAAATGCTGTAAACTGCAGGGGCCTTGGGTCATCATAGCTCATAAGTCCCCTGCTTTACCTGATGAATACAGGGCTCTTGTCGGAGACTCCGGAGCGCAATGAGGGCAGCCTCCTTGACAGTTGGCTGAGGATCTCCACATGCCATTTCTAGGAGCCGCTGGGGTACTTGGCACTGTAATAGTTCCTTGCCCAATCCTTCAGGTCCCAGATTGCCAAGAGCTGATGCAGCATTGCGCCGGATACCATCCTGAGGATCTCCAAGAAGCTGGGTCATACTGGGCACTGCAGCTGCCAAAGCAGGTCCCAAGGGACCAGCCTGGTAGGCTGCATTGCCCACAGCAAAGCTGGCACTGCGTCGCACGGCAGAGTCCTTGTCTCCAAGCCCTAGCAGCAGAAGGCTGAGCAGTCCAGCCTGGCTCTGTAGTGCCCCACGTAGGGCCATGCTGTGTTGTAACAAGTGTCCCAGAAGCCCATAAGTACGGACCCGCACGGTGTTCTCTGAGTGGCCCAGGAGGTTGCGCAATGGCCGATAGGATTCATCAGAGCCAGATAGGAGCTCTTGGATAAAAGACAAGTGGCTAGGGGATAGTATCCGGGCTGTGTGGGTCAACAGAGACAGAAGGTCAGAGATCATGAGGGGCTGATCACTCAGTAGAGCAATAGAGAGGAATGACATGATGGTTCTAGAAGAGGTAGCCACTGTATCCACAAACTGCTTGAGAGAGGTGGGATCCATGAGGGCCAGGCGTGTAAGGAGGCCAATGGGCAGCTCTGCTTGTAACAGTGGAAGGTGGTGGCAGCAGACCTGGGAGAAATCAGAGTCCAGGTAAAGGGGTTCGAAAGAGGGAGAGATACATTGCAATGGCAACAAAAATGCCAAGCCAAGGAGAGTAATGTCCCAGGCAGCAGAGCCTAGCCACATAGCACAACACACGAAGCCCATGTGGAGGCCAAGAGCAGGTCCTTTCTGCACCTACACCTGGCTCTACAAGGGCACAGTTCCTGCCTCCAAAGATCCAAAGAACATTGCCAGAGTGCCAAGGCAATGATTCCTGACCAAGGAGCTGAGCTATAATGCCTGGCCTCCCTGCTGAGTTCCAAGAGAACCAGACAAGAGTCCAATGGAGAGTTGAGACCCTAGCTCAGCTTCAGCTGCATGATGGACTGGGTCTGAGTAGTGCTTCCACTCCAACACTTTGGTCAAGCTAGATGTCCTACTCTTTGGGGGTCTAGGATAGCCCCAGAGCTATTCTCCACTCCAACACTTTGGTCAAGCTAGATGCCCTACTCTTTGGGGGTCTAGGAGAGCCCCAGAGCTATTGGGTTGTGAGTCAGAGGATACAACACTAGCCATCTTCCTTTCCCACCCTCAGGCCTGGATAACTTCTCCAAGTACCTGCAGCAGGTAGACTGTAACTTCTGAGTCCCTGAGGTCGGCCAAGATGCCCACAAGGAGGTCAGCATCCACATCCAAGGCGAAAGGGAAGCAGAGCAGCTGGCACACAGAGAGTACCACCACAGGGAGGAACTTAGGCCCCTGAGGCCTAGGAAGGGAGCAAAACAGGCATACCCTTTATGATGCTTGTCTCCCTCACTTTACATTTCCTCCCCCAACTCCACTCTCCCAATCTCAGCAACTCCTTAAGTTTCTAGCCTAACCCTTACCCCACGTCTAGCCTTACAACTCAAACTGTCAGCTATTTGTCTTCTGCCCCCACCTCCACCTCCCCTCGTTGACTCTGAGTCTCCTAATCTTCTAGTTCAGACTCACGCTTGGCTCAGGTGATGCAAGAAGCTGGGGGAAAGCAAGTGCTTCAGGGTCAACATGAGGATGCTTCCATGCTGGGACAGGTGGCTCAGGCATAACTGGGGTTCCTGAGTGAAGATGGCCATGGCCAGGCTCAGCAAGGCTGCCATGCCTGAAAGCAACAGAGAATGCAGGCCAAGTGAAGCAAGCAAGGTGCCCAGATGCCCCATCACCCAAGGCTCCTATCCTCTCTGCACCACCCCCCCCCCATTGGTAAGCAGGTTCAGTACAGTCTCTCACACCCTCTTGCACACAGTAGGAGCAATTATCTATGGGCTAACTCAGTTCTAAGCTGCCTCCTTTGGAAAAGGGACCCCTTCCCACAGAGCTGTGCTAAGAGAAAGACACCTTGGGGTGAAATCAGGGTCCAGTCAGGCTCTAGGCTGGGTGGACTTGACGGTGATAGGTCATCTTCCTGTACAGTCACCTCCTCAGGTAGCCTCAAGGCCATGGAAAAGCGGTGCCATAGAATGGTCCACACCTCGGAAGCAGCCACATCCCTGATCAGGCCAGGTTTCCCCTGTTTGAGAGGAGGGTATGCACAAGTCAGGGGTCCAAATGCCTTTTGTAATTTCTGCTCCTAACCATACAGGGCAACAGAGTCACTGAACTCACTTCTTCTGTCTTTCCACCTAATATTTCTGTATTTTCCTTCCTCCCTTTCCCCATTTCTCCTTATCTTCCCCCATCTCATTATGTATTCAGGCTACTCTCAAACTTATGATCCTCCTGCCTCAGCCTCTCAAACCCTAGAATTGTAACTCCACCACCACACCCAAATTATGTTCCTTTCCTATCATGATTGAACCCAATCTCTCAACCTATGAATGCACCTATGGAAAACAAGGAAATTATCCTGTTCAGATTGGCTCATGTCAGGCCAAGCTGTATACAGGCTTATTAAAAAAAAAAAAAAAAAAAAAGTCTGTTTTTGGTATGTTGAGATAGGACCTATATACCTCAGGCTAGTTTCTAACTCACTATGTAGCCAAGGCTGGCCTGGAACTCTTGAGTCTCCTACCTTTGTGAAGAAAATTTTCATCTAAACAACAATAATAAAAATCCATAAACCTAAACCCCAAGTCTGACCCCAAAGCTGTTCTTCTCCCTAGGTCCCTGGGGGAGGGCAGTTAATCAGCCCACTTTAGGGGTCCTGTTGAGGGTGAAGGTGGGCTTGGGGATCTGGCTAGTAAGGTTAACAGCGGTGTGAGAGGATGGGTAAGCATAGGCTGCTACTTCACTCCTATCATCGAGTGGCTCCGAAGTACGCCCAGTTCCTCTCTCTGCTGTACCTCACAGTACACCTGTACCTGTGTAAGGAGCTGAAGCAGAAGAATGAGGAGGCCATCGTAGAAACCGCAGCTACACGGTGGAGTCAGCCGGACCTGTCGGAGAGAAGCATAGGAACACACATATTCAAGAGGGATGAGGGAGCTACCTAGACCAGTCCCGGCGCCTAGGAGTAGAGAACTCTTCCTTGGCCTGGCAGAGTGGGACAAGCTTGGATTTAGGAGTTTTGGATTTAGGAATTTTGGTTCTTTCCTATTCTTTCATCATGTTCCTAAAACATACAGTCTAGTAGGATAAGCTTTTGGGTCCAAAAACAATTCCAGTTTAGGAAGATGTTTGTTAAGCAAGAAGTTGGTTACACAGTTGAATGTGCATAACAGCAACCCTTAGAGGCAGGAGACATAGTCAATATTTTAAAGGCAGGGCTGGAATGTAGAACAGCAGAACATTTGCCAAGGCTGTGCCAGACCCTGGGTTCAATCTCTAGCACTCAAAAATCAGCAAATAAAAATGTAAAGACAGAAAAGGGAAAGTGGCAGGAGAAAGGCAGGGCATCCTAAGAAGTGCAGAGCACAGCATATAGAAAAGCTGGTGGCATAAAAGTTCATAGCAAATTCTGGAAATGGATGACAACTCTTTAGAGCCCTCCGGCATCAGGTAGGTTGTGACAGTCTACAGCAGTGGTTCTCAACATTCCTTTAATATAGTTCCTCATGTTGTGGTGACTCCTCCCAACCATAAATTATTTCATTGCTACTGCATAACTGCAATTTTGCTACTGTTATGAATTGTAATGTAAATATCTGATATGCAAGACCCAAACAAAGTTATGCCTCACAGGTTGAAAACTGCTGGTTAACAGTCTGCACTGTTTCCTATAAGCAGTGGGAAGCCATTAAAGATTTATACAACCTGATGTATGCTCCACATTAGCAATATTTTGTAAAATACTTCATTCACCGCTTTACTCTCAGAATTTAGAATGATGCAGAACACTCAACATACAATTCTATATTCAAAATCACCAATTGAATAGATGGCCATATTTTCCCTTTTAAAAGCTCACTCTGGCAGGGCAGTGATGGCACACACCTTTAGTCCCAGCACTTGGGAGGCAGAGGCAGGTGGATCTCTGTGAGTTCAAGGCCATCCTGGTCTATAAAGGGCGTTCCAGAACAGTTAGGACTACATAGAGAAACCCTGCCTTGAAAACCAAGAGAGGGAGAGGGGGGAGGGAGGGAGGGAGAGAGAGAGGGGGAGAGAGAGAGAGAGAGAGAGAGAGAGAGAGAGAGAGAGAGAGAGAGGATCCCAGAGGGCCTGAAAAGGAAAAGAAAAAAAGCAAAACTGGGGATCACATAATGGCCTGGGTTCCTGAAGAACACACAAGGTATCAGCCACTTCTCCACATTCATTAAGGAGAAAAAGCAGGAAAGGTAGGGTGGACACTGCAGAAGAGAAGAGGCTAAAGCATCAGGAAAGACTTCAGCCACAAGAGCATGAGCTCCTGGAGGGCCTGAAGCAGGCAGTGGAACCTTTTGCCTCAGATAACTGGACACAGGAACCTCTAACCTCAGATAACTGGACAAGGAGAACCTCTAGCCTCAGATAACTGGACAAGGAGAACCTCTAGCCTCAGATAACTGAATAAGGGGAACCTCTCGCCTCAGATAACTGAGTAGCTTCCTTTCTTTCCCTCTCTGCCTCCATCTTTGGAAGTTCTGTATCAGAAGAGCGGCCCTGATCAGCCCCGGCTTAGAGCGGCCCACTGTCTGGTGGAAAAGGAGAGGAAGAGGGGCTTCTTGACACCTTTTCCAATTTGTAGTTTCCTTCAGGCTTACTGGATTTAGTCTTTCCCTAGGAGGGCTGTCCTGGTGTTGGACTCAGAGGAAACATGCCTGGGCCTTCCCCAGTAGCTCACCTCTGCAGGGGCAGACAAGGCATGCGCAGCTGCTGCGATCCACTCCTGGGGCTGGAGGTCAAACATCACCCCTTGCTGACCAAGCTGTCCTAAGAGACAGGCTGCTGCGTTCTGTTGAAAGGTAGAGGAAAAGAAGGACCATTTGAATCTGAATGGTGTTCGGGACATGACAAAGAGGCTTGCAGAAACAGCTGCAAACAGAACAATGGCTGCCTGCTCCCAAGAGGGTCAGACCAAGGGGTGGAAGGAGGAAGTATGAAAGCTGAAAGCTGAAAACTCACCACAAGGGAGACGACATGTGAGTGGGTAAAAAGAATAGCCACCTCACTGCCTAGCTTCTCCATTCTGGAACACAAAGATGCAATGGAGGGTTACAGTGGGCTGGTGAGTATCCCTCCCTGTCCCCTGCATTCCATTCCCCACCTACGCTGCATGGCCACCTCCCAGGCTCAAAGGTGCTGAGAACCCAGGCCTGTTCTTGGCAGAGAAATGTGGCTCTCTCTCTGTCTCAGCTCCTTCTAGGAAAAGGCTAAGGGGTGCCTTATGTGTCAGGGACAGCTCTAGGAAGGAGACTTTATGACTCACCCAGAAGGAAGATCTTGGAGCCGAAAGACAAGAAGGGACAGGAGGTAGAGTGCCACCTCCGTGGACTCTTCCCAATCTGCTACTTTTACCTACGAAGGAAACCCGAGCTATCAAAACAACTTCTGGGTGAGATGGACCACTATAAGATATCCAACCATGTTGGTATCACTGGCTTACCTTGCCCTGGACCAACATCAACAATGATTCCAAGGCCAGGGGCTCTTGGCCCAGAATATGGCATAGGTGCTCACTAATATAGCAGCAGGAGTAGAGGACCTAGGGAAAGTGGAAGGAGCCTGTCAGTGGACAGACCAGCCCTAGGCTCCTACAGTGGAAGGCTCAGTTGAAAAGCAGGCAAGCCTCTCAGTAGAGCTGATGCCCACATGTGGGGATTATGACAATTGTGACTGTCAATGACTGGAGTAGGAAGAGCCTACGTAAAGCACACCTCTGAGTGTTTCTGTGAGGGCCTTTCCAAAGCAGGGGGGGAAACCAGTCCTGGATGTGCATGGCACCATCCCATAGGCTGGGGCCTGGATGGATGAAAGGGGAAAAGAAAAAACCAGACACCACACATTTGCTTTCTCTCTGCTTCTTGTATGCCATCATGTGGACTGCCCTGCTGTTCTCAGCCATGCCCCCATGGAACTTTCCTCCTTGGTGAGTTCTCAGAACTCACCATGGAGATCAGGCTGGCAGGCTGCTCCTCCTTCCTCCCTCCCACCCTCCTCCCCTCCCTTCCTTTCCTAGGAGTTAAAATGAATCTGAGGTGTTGGGAGCTGTGGGAAGGAGGTACCTTGAGAAGGTGGAGGCATAGGATGTGATGCCGCAGACCAGAGACCAGGGATGGCCTCAGTTGGCTGCTGTCCTCAGTCAGCTGATTGGCCAAATGCCAAGAAACCTATGGAGACATACTCGACTCCATCCCATCTCCTCTATTCCACTTCCGTTCCTCACACATCTTCAATTGGCCAGGACTCTCTGACTCTTACTGGCCCCTCTGAGGTTCCCTAGAAATCTCAGGCGCCATTCCCTTTCCAGTCTCTGGCCAGTGGAGAACTGAATCCTGCCCTAGTCTGCTCTTAATGTAGGCAGGTAGAAAGGAAAATGTTACTAAGTGACAAAGTAGGAAAGCTCAATCTGAGTGCTAGCTCTGGCCAGAAACATAATAGTTTCCAACTGGCTACCTTACCACCTGGGCAGTTACGGCTGAGCTGGGTAGCCAACCCATGGAATTTAAGCCATCCCAGTGGCCCAGACCCGTGGGGGAGTGTCTGCTTCTGGAAATCCTGAGCAAGAAGCCCAAGCTTATTTTTCTGTCTCTCAGTAGCATCTGCTGACAAGTTCCCCAGTTCCCAAGTGGCAGGGAAAAAAGGAGCAAGAATTTGGGTCTCAGACCTGCTCCTTGGCGTCCCAACAGCTCGGCAACCCCACAGGAGCGGTACACATGGCTGCCAGGGCAGAAGAAATGGCTCCGGGTATATCTTCACACTGCTCCCGCAGTGGCTGGCTCACTTGTGGGGCTCCTGCAGAGAAAGGGAAAGCATATTGGTAGGTCTGGTTGTTTTTCATAGGTTCCCCAGTCAGTCTTTTAGGATTTGTTTTGGTTTGGCTTGTCTTGCTTTGCTTTTCTGGCTTTTTGAGACAAGAGTCTCATTATGTTCCAGTTAAGCCTTAAACTATGAAGCCGAAGCTAACTTTGAACTTGATCCTCCTGCCTCCGGAGTGCTGGGATTACCATGCATGTGCCACCAAGCCCAGGGCTTCATGCTAGTCAAGCACTCTACCAAATGAGCTACATCTCCAAGCCCAATTTACACTTTTTGAGCACCTGCTAAGTCCCAGGGACCATTCTAGATGATGAAAGTAGGAAGGACATAGGCAGACCTATGTATGGAACAGGAAGGCCGGCTCACCTGGTGGTGTGTGGAAAGGAAGCTGTGGGACCGTTAGGCCATGAAGGAGCCCGTCCAACACAGCACGCTGTGTGGTCAACAGGCTGGAGTAAAAGGCATTGGAGATGGCCCGGCTGTTACCATCCACGGTTTCACACAGAACAGCAAAGCACTGAAGAGAAGAGCAGAGTCAGCAGGGCATCAGAAACCTGCCTGGGCTTTAGTGAGGACCAGGGTGAAGAGGCCAAGAGACAGGGGTCTAGCCTAAGAATTCTTTCCAGGGAAAATGCACCCACGGTCCCCCTGGTTGGGACTTGCGGTAAAATTTCCCCTTTCTCCTTTTCCCTCTACTGACACACGGGTAGTCTCTTTCTCCACTCTCTCTCTGTACACTGGGATTCAATCAGTGATGAAATTAAAGGCATGTGCCACTATGCCTGTCTTTTTAAAAACCTATTTACTTATTTGTTTGTTTATTACACCTATATTTATGGCCCCTGATGAATGCCAAACTACTTAGTGCCTCTGCATTTTAGATATGATGCTCTTTCTATCTAGAGTGGCCTATCTTCTTTCCTACCTCACCCAAGCTGGCAAGCTGATATGCATTGTCTATCTGTCTGTCTATCTATTGGTTTTTCAAGACAGGGTCTCACTGTGTTGTGTAGCCCTGGCTGTCCTGGATCTCACTCTGTAGACCAGGCTGCCTCTGCCTCCTGAGTGCTGGGATTAAAGGTGTGCACTATTACTGCCCAGCTGCTGCTATGCATTCATCACAGTTTCTTTGAGGACTCTCCAGGCAGAGCTAATAGCATCTTCTTTAATAGTGCCTCTGTACCATGTACAAAGTTCTAATAGATGTCTCACTTACCCTACTTGGCTCCCCGCTCCCCCAAGACAGGGTTTCTCTACGTAGTCCTGGCTATCCTGGAACTCACTCTGTAGACCAGGCTGGCCTCAAACTCATAGAGCTCCTCCTGCCTCTGCCTTCTGAGTGCTGGAACTAAATAAAGGCATGTTCCACCACAACCGGCCCTATTCAACTATATTCTCTTCGAAGTGGAGACTTTGTTACTCATGTGGCATATAGCACATGGTGAGAATTCACCATTTGTTGTAGTAACACAATCATAAGAAAGGCCCTGGGAGAAACACAGGAAAAGAGAAATCTGGACGCAGGAGGAGATTACCATAAGGCTGTCCCTCCGAAATGTCTGCTCGGAGTCATCTGATTGGGTCAACAGCTTCCCCAGCAAGTCCAAAAAGAGGCTGGCAGCCTCCTGAAACACCTGTAGGCTGGGGAAGAATGAACTCATGATATCTTCCCATCCTCCCACTAAAAGCCTGGACATGGGTATGACAAATGGGTCAGTTCTGTAAAAGTAAGAGATCTTTTCCAAGGAACACACCAGAATGTTCCTCCTTTCAGCTCTGCTAACAGACACAGACAGAGCAGAGGAGGCAGGCAGAGGGAGTCGGGGGATCTCACACCATTCAAGCCCCTTCTCAGCTGTTTTCACATTCTGATCCTTCCACTGAGGACCATCTGTGCTGGGTGATTGCTGACTCTCAGAACCTGACTGTCCTGGGGCAAAGCCACAAGTGTCTCAAGGTCCTTGAGGATCGATTAAATTCTGAAGGCTAGTCAGCGTATCTCTAACCCTGCCACACATCATCACTTCTAACTTGGTCTCCTCCTAATGAGGAGGGGAAGAAATGGGGTAGAAACTGAACCACACTGGCCAGCAGGGCAGAGGTGTCTCTTCCCCCACCTGTCACCTGTCTGGCTCCTCTCCAGATTGAAGGCGCACGAAAAGTAGGCCTGAACCACAGCCACCAGGTCCCGTAAAAAGGCCCCATACCAAGGTTGCTATGAAGAAAGGAGAGAAAGGGCACATGAAGAATGGAGACCAAAGGCACAAAGAGCAGCAATAAAGGCATGCAGAGCGCAGTCAAGCTGGCTGGGTGGAAAGGGGCAGGGAAGGAGAAAGTCAAGAGTGTCAGTCAACGGGCTGCAGACCATCTGGAGATGCATTTGACTTGAGCAGCACGTTGGAGTAGAGGAGGGGCTACTCCCACAAAACTACCCTCTCCAGCTTCTTATATTCACCTGAGTTTGATACCTGGCGGCAGAGGGCAGCATTCTGAGGGCTGCCTTAGTCTGTTTACCACACCTTCATCATCTGGGGGGGGGGGCTGTACTCTGAGCTCAGCCATGTCAGGACCCAATGCAGGGAAGTATAAAGGTTTAGCCTCGGACACAGTCCTGAGGCTAGCCCTCCCACCTATCATATAGCCATCTGCAGTGACTACAGGGACTAATCTCCAGACTTCAGTGTCCTGCTTTGAACACTGTAAAGCAGAAGTCTAACCCTCTGAAGCAACTCTTCTCAATATTGGGACATTACCTTTTTTTTTTTTTTTAACTCTTCATTTTTATCTTCTCTTAGAAAACCAGGTTAGATATATTGGCTCAAACTTCACATGACAACAATGGGCTGGAGCTGAGAAGATGCCCCCTTTAGGGTGGGGATGTCTAACATACTCCCTACTACTTAGACAGCTGTATACCTACCTCGCCTTCTTCACTGACTGATACTACTTGTTTAGCCCCAGAAGGCATCAGAATTTGCAAGGGATGGTCTGGTAATTAGAAAAAGAAGGATAGAAAAGAAGAGGCAGTCAGGTCAAACAGATGGCCACTCCAAGGGGAGTGGGCAAGGAAAAGGACCACCTCATCTTCAGAGGCTGCTGGGCTGTTGCGTACCTGCTGGATACTGCTGCTCTCCTGGCTGTGTTTAAGGAGGCTGAGAGGCAGCCTGGGCAGTCCTGCCTCCTGGCAGAAGGAATACAAGAGCACAGAGTCACTGCAGCTGGACAGGAGACTGCTCAGGACACGGAGTACGGGAAGCAGGTTGGAAGCCCCCTCTAGGGTGCCTTTCAGGATCTGGAGAACATGAGAGAAAGAGACAGCGATTGGTATAATTATAGGTAGAGGAAGAAGAGTCACAAATACTGAATGGCTCCAAGGAGTTAGCAGAACAAACCAAATGTTTGCATTCCTACCTGGGGGAGCTAAAAAGCCAGGGAGGAAGAGCAGAGGCACAGGGAAACTGCACCAGAGAAGATGACTATGGAAGGTCACCTGACAGAACACCAGGGACCAAGGGGCAGGGACCTCAAGATCTGTCCACAGTGTCATTGTTGTCTGTCTCCATTGATAGCATTTCACTTTAAAGACAGCAATAACATGGGGGCTGGAGAGATGACTCAGAGGTTAAGAGCACTGGCTGCTCTTCCAGAGGTCATGAGTTCAATTCCCAGCAACCACATGGTGGCTCACAACCATCTATAATGAAATTTGGTGCCCTCTTCTGGTTTACAGGCATGCATGCAGACGAACACTGTAATAATAAATAAATAAATGTTAAAAAAAAAAAAATAACAGCAACACCACCACCACGCATAGTCTTCTGAAAAATAAAACATGAAAAATAAAATATGAAACAATGTTCTTTAACTCCAGAGAAACAACACATCATCATTAGGCTCTAGATTAAGAACTGCTGACATTTCACCTGCCAAATTTAGCTCAACATGTATCTGCATGCAGCCTGCACTCTAAGAATAGTACCATCCTTTTAAATGGTTATTCTGCAAAAGAAACACATCGACACCAAATGTCTTACAGTTCAGTGTTCTCAATTTTGACATTTATTCTCCCATTTCCCAGTGTGTAGTAAAGAGAACTATTCATTTTAAAGACAGAACTGATCCATCTGTATAGATCAGGGTCCCATCAAAGATCAATCTAGGTCTTAGTGAACTCTGATCCAGGGAGTTACTTCAGCAGCCAAAGACTTCCTGTTTTCTGAGAGGCAGAGGCTGGCCTGCTGAGATGGCTCAGCAGGTGAAGTGCTCACTGCAGAAGCCTGATGAACTGAGTTTTAGGAGACACCACTTAAAGGTAGACTAGGGAACTGAACCCACAAAGGCACCTCTGCTGTCTACTCTTGTGCCCCCAAATTCATTCATAATAACTGGTTAATTTTTTTTAAACCAACAGAGGTCCCATTATGTTGCCCACCTGAACCAGGTGTGGAGATGTACACCTTTAATCAAGGCAGGGACAGATGGGGGGTGGCAGGAACAGAGGCAGAGGAATCACTTGTTAACTCCAGGCTAGCCTGGTAGAGAGACCCTGTCTCAAAAAGTGGGGGAGGGGGAGAAACCATCTGCCTAGCCTCCCAGGTTAGGAAAAGAGACTTCAGCCTGCTTTCCCACATTAGAAATGCTCCAATAGCTGGGCAATCGTGGTGCATGCATTTAAATCCACCACTTGGGAGGCAGAAGCAGGTGGATCTCTGGGAGTTTGAGGCTAGCCTGGTCTGCAGAGTGAGTTCCAGGACAGGCTCCAAGGTTACACAGAGAAACCCTGTCTCAGAAAACTAAAAAAAGAAAAAGGAAATGAAGGGAGGGGGGAGGAAGGGAGGGAGGAGGGAGGGAGGGAATGAAGAAGGGAGGGAGATAATGAAGGAAGGAAGGAAGGAAAAGCTCCAACAGTAGGATGACAATTGTTAGATCCAGGAAATAAGAGCAAGTTATCAATATAATTCAGTGGGATTTTTTTTTTTCAAAAACACATAAAGAGACTAACTTACTTCATGATCAAACATTAACTCAAAATGGGTCAAGGGTCTTCATGTAAGGTTTTGTGGAACATTTAGAAAATCTTCAAGCCAGGACTACATAGTGAGACTCAGCCTCAACAAGAAAAAAAAAAAAAAAACAAAAAAAAACAAAAAAAAAACGTGAAAACAAATCAATGGCCATCAGGCAGTGACTGAATGAATAAAATGTTATTTGTACTTAGCAGTGTAAAGTGAAAAGTTGAGACCAGTGAGATGGCTCAGTGAGTAAAGGTATTTGCTGCCAAGCCTGGTGACTTGAGTTCAATCCCTGGCACCCACATGGTAGGAGAAGAGATCCAACTCCCGGAAAGTGTCATTTGACCTCCATACTTGTGCCAAGGCACAAGTACCCCCTATCTATTCATAAGTAAATGTCATAAAAGTTTTTTTTAAAAAGCTGGTTATGGTGGTGCATGCATGCCGGTAGTATTTGCTGAAGGAGCCAGAGGCAACAGGATCACGAGTTGGAGACCAGCCTGGGCTACACATTAAAAAAAATTTTTTTTTAAAGAAATTAAAGAGGCTTGGGGTAAAGCTTAGTGGAAGAGTGATGGGAGATGTCATTCTATAAATATGTTTCTCTTACTGGTTAATGAATAAAGCACTATTGGCCAATAGGAAAGCAAGATAGGTGGGAGTGGGAGACAAGGAGGAAAGAGGAAGTAGTAGGGAGGAGTCAACATGGAGAGACCAGGGAGAGCACAACACCAGCCCATTCCCCGGTAAAATGAAAGCACGTGGAAATACGTAGATTAACAGAAATGGGTTAATACTTAAGACAGAGCTAGCCGATAAGAAACAAGTAACTGGCCAACAGCATTATATCTAATACAGAGTCTCTGTGTGTTAATTGGGGCTGGAGCGGCGGCGGGACAAGACCAGCGGCAGAAAAACCTACTCCTTACAGAAGAGTGCTTGCCTAGCATATACAACTGAGTTTATCTCAGCATTGCAAACTAAGAATGAAATACTGCTATGTGCTATATCATGAATAAACTTCAAAGACAAGCAAGTCATGAGAGTGCACAGCTTTAATCCCAGCACTAGAGAGACAGAGGCAAGTAGGTGAGTACAAAGCCAGCCTGATCTACAGAGTGAGTTCCAGGACAGCGAGAGCTACATAGAAAGGTCCTGATTGGAAAATAAATAAATAGAAGGAAGTGATTGGAGAGATGGCTCTTGGTAAAGTGCTTACTGTACAAACATGAGGACCTGAGTTCATATCCCCAGCACCCATGAAAAAGCTGTCTACAGCAATATGTCAATCAAATCAGAGCTGGGGAGAGAGAGTTACAGGGGGATTCTCAGGAACCCGTGAGCCTTAGCTTCAGTGAGAGATCAACTCAAAACAAATACAAGGTGGAGAGTGACAGAGGGTGATACCTAACACTGACCTCTGGCCTCCACATGCACAGGCACATTGACACATAAAATGTGTATTAAAAGGGGAAATAAGCATAAACCATATGTTTGGAAAGTTCCTAGGAGGAAAGAGCACTGTTCTGGAGGTGCAAAGAAGGGCTTTAGGAGGAAGGAGCCTAACTTTTAATGCTAACTAAAATGTTGCCCCTGAAAAACCAAAACCAAACCAAAGTCAATCATCTCATTAGATAACTGCAGTATGAAACACTGTATACTGGTATAATTATATTTTAATTTTTCCAACAAAAATTTTATGGAACTATGTTTGCTTTCTCTTTATAAGTACAAAAGAGCCTCCATTTTTGCCTCTTGGCCCATGCTGCCCATGGTGTTTCCTATGAAGAAGCTCACTGACTCCTGTTCTAGATAGGTATTTTTCCCCCCTTCAGAAAGAGAAATCTGAGGCTTGCTCTGTGCTCTTCTAAGTTTTTCCTTGAAATAACTGGAACAGGACAGCCTTTCTGTCTCCTTATGGCGATGACATCTCTGAAGATTGTCCCAACCTCTTCCACAGCCCCTTTAGATTGTTACCTGCTCAGCAGTGCCACGCAGCTGACTCTGGATGCGCTGGCAGAAATCAGGGTTACACAGCAGAGTGAGAGGGGCCTTCAGCTGCACCGGCACAGGCTCAGTAGTCTCTAGGAACCTTTGCCACTCGTCATCACTGTCTGGCTCCTGGGCATTCAGAGTGAAAGCGGTCAGGAGGAGTAAGTGCTAGGGTCATAGTTTTCAACCCCAGATTAGAAACTGAGTGGTTTATGAAGTAACAAGCAGCTCCTTTAACATAGGAGTGTATTGTCAGACACTGTCAGGAAAGACACAATGGGCAGAATAGAAGGGGTCTTGAAAAATCCCTTGTGAGTATATGCATAAAGAGGTACCTGAAGCATGGCTGATTGATAGTGACAAAACATGGGAATGTCGTAAAGCCAGTTGGGAAGGGAATAGTATCAGGAACTACTAGGAAGTCTTTAAGTAGATCATATTACTGAGGATTACCTGCTATAGGATTTCTACCCAAAACATATAGGCTGAATCTAATCACAAAAAACCAATTTGAGAAACACTGCAAAATAACTCATTTGTATACCATTCTGGCTGGGCATGTTTCAAGTGTATTCTCTCAAAGTTTCATGTCCCAGGTCCCAGCATGGTAGCATTCAGAGATGCTGAGACCACCTTGCAGGAGGCATTAAGATCTCCCTTCTCCTGCACCCTCTGCTCTGTAGTAGGAACTGAACGTAAGGCCTTGTATATCCAAGGCAGGAGGCAAGTAGTATGTATTATCCCACTGAGCTACATACCCAGGTTCGTTGGGGTTTTCTGTTTTTTTGTTTTGTTTTTCAGTCAGGGTCTCACTATGTAGTTCTCTGTAGACCAAGATGCTGGGAACTTAAAGAGATCTGCCTGTCTCTGCCTCTCAAGTGCTGGGATAAAAGGTATGCACCATACCTGGCTCAAAGTGAAATTTCTAACGATGATAGTGCAGGGGAATGACTTTATTCTTAGGAAATATGCACTAAGTATTTTGAGGTAGAAAGGCATGTCTGCAAATTGCCTCAAACTGATTAAAAAAGACAGTCTGTCCATCTATTCATGGACTCATAAAACAAATATGACAAAATTGTGACAGGTGACTGAATCTGGGTGCATAGAGGACTACAGTTTGAATGTTTTTGTCTTCCCTAAACTATTTTGTGTTGGCAACTTAATTTTCAAAGCAATAGTGTTGGGAGGTGGAGCTTAATAGGAGTGTTTTCTGGGAGGGTTGGGTTTTTTTGTTTTGTTTTGCTTTTTGGCCATGAGCTCCAACAACACAAACTAATTAATGTTGTTATAAAAATAATTCCCAGGGGCTGGATCGATGGCTCAGTGGTTAAGAGGTCCAGAGGACCTGGGTTTGATTCCCAGCATATGCTTCAGAACTCTCTCTAACTCCAGTTCCAGGGATCCAGTGCCCTCTTGTGGCCTCCATAGGCACCAAGCAGGTACCCCGTGCACATACATGCAGGCAAAACATGGACATAAAATACAATAAAATGTTTAATTGTTTCTAGAGCTAGGCCTTGAGGCTCACTCCTATAAAGCTAGCATTCTGGAAGCTAAAGTAAGAGCATGGTGAATTTAAGGCCAGCCTGGGCTACATAATGAAAACTGACTCTTTTGATTTTCTGAAACATGCAAACAAAGCATTCTTGCCCCTACAAAGGATGTGGTACTCCAGGGATCATCTTAGAAGCACAGAGATTGAGCCTGCCAACATGTTCACTTTAGATTTCCCAGCCTCAGGGTATAAATGAAGTCTATATATTCTCACAATTTTTTTTTTTTAATGTGAGTGTTTGGCTACATATATGTCTACACACGATGTGCATCCCTGACACCTGAGGAGATCAGAAGAGTTATTGGATCTCTTGGAACTGGAACTGTGGATGGTGGTGAGCCATCATATAGGTAGTGTAAACTGAACCAGGAACTTCTTCAAGAACATGTAAGAACAAGTGCTCTGTGTGTGTGTGTGTGTGTGTGTGTGTGTGTGTGTGTGTGTGTGTGTGGTTTTTAGAGACAGGGCATCTCTGTGACAGCCATGGCTGTCCCTACAACTCATTTTGTAGACTAGGCTGACCTTGAAATTACAGAGATCTGCCTGCCTCTGTCTCCCAGAACAAGTGCTCATAACTGGTAGGCTCACCTCTCCAGCCCCATTATTATTCAAGTTGAAATTATTTCAAAATTTCAAAATTAGAACTCTAAAATGGACGCAAAATGTTGAAATACATGCTCTGCTGTAGAAACAACGCCTAAGATAGATCATATGGTAAAAGAAGCATGATGCAAAGAATAAACAGGACAAACCCAACAATGCAGAAATAGCCAAACTATACATATACATACATGTGAAGTTCAGAGGGTCTGAGACAGATTAGTAATGGTAGCCATCTCTGGAAGTGAGGTGAGGTTCAACCTTTGATTCTATTTGTTTTGTTGCTGTTTTGTTTTTTGTTTGTTTGTTTAGACAAGGTTCCATCATGTAGCCCAGGCTAGCTAGATACTTCTGAGCTCAGGAGATTCTCTTCTTGAGAGAGTTCCAAAAAACTGGAACTATAGGTAACATGCTAACATCCACCTTAGAACTCTAATCTTACCTGTGCATTCTAATTTTTGAGAATGACATGTTCACATAATATGTGATTAAAATTTATAAGCCTATAATAAAGTAATTTTTAACAAAAAGGGAGCTTGTATTTACAGCTCATGTAGATCTAGAAAAGCACTCATTTAGACCTAATATCCCACCTCATTTTCTAGATCCATTGCGTCAGTGTTCTGCTGGCCCATCATTTCTGGCCTCAGCTCTGGGAATGCTTGTTTACACTCCAAGGTGATGTGGTTTTCCCTGCCAAAGCAAAACGGGAGTAAGATGACTTCTGGACTTGTGAAACTTAAGTTTCGTTGCCTTGCAGCTCCCTCCAGCCTCAAGAAAAGTCCTAAGAGAACCAGTCATACAAGTAGGTAGAGGGCATTTCTTTGGGGGAGGTATGGGATGTAGTCAGTTCGGTACATGTTAACATCTACACACAGATTCTTTTTTTTTTTTTTTTTTTTTTTTTTTTTTTGAGACAGGATTTCTCTGTGTAGCTTTGGAGTCTGTCCTAGCACTCCCTCTGTAGATCAGGCTGGCCTCAAACTCACATGGATCCCCCTGCCTCTGCCTCCCAAGTGCTGTGATTAAAGGTATGTGCCACCACTGCTCAGCCATACACAAATTCTTGACTGCCCTCCCAGCTTGTTCTTACTCTCAAGTAGACTTGATTTTTTTCACCCATGACTTTCCACTTGGATATTCTTCCCTTTTGAACAGAAATGGTCCTTGTTATTTCAAAGCATAACTGAGACAGGAAGACAAAATCTTCAAGTTTCCTGATGAATCAAGAAATAATTAGAGGGACTGGATAGGTGTCTCAGTGGTTAAGAGCACTGGCTACTCTTCCAGAGGATCCAGGTTTGATTCTCAGCACCCACACAGGAGCTTACAATTGTCTATAACTCCAGTCCCAGGGGATCCAGTGTCCTCTTTTGGCCTCTGAAGGCACTGTACACATATGATACACATACATACATGCAGGCAAAACACCCAGGCATATAAAATAAAAATAAAAGGAAAAAAGTAAGCCAGAAAGAATTAGAGCCCAAGAACCTAGGATTCAAACTCCTAAAGCCCTATCTATATTTAGGCAATGGCTATGACAGAGTTTTTCTTTGATTTCTTTGATTGTAGCCAGAGTTCTGCTGATAACTCCCCACCTCTCCAACACATACACACCATTTGACCCTTCTCACCGAGGTGTTGGGGGTGCTTCTCCAGCCCCCCAGTCTTCCCAGTTGCTCTTCATTTCTGAGTCCAATATACTAGCCAAGAGGCTTGGTTCCTGAGGAGGGGCCTTTAGTCCAGGCACAGGGGTTGTGCTAGAAGTCATCTTGCTGGGCCTATCTTCTGGTTCAAGGGCAGGTCCTGCATTCTGATCTTTCTATAAGGGGTGGGTAGGAGACAAGAGAACTATTTGGGCAGTATGGATCCTATTCTTATCCTTTTGCCAATTCCCTGAAAGTCACCTTTTTCTCCAGCTCCCCAAGTCACTAGCTTGTTTGTGTCATATATTTTCCTCTGACCCACATACCTTCTGCCCAGTTTCTTCAGCCATGCGTTTACAGGCCTGGCGCAGGATGCGAGACTGGTTACCCTTGGGTGCCAGATGATGGGCCTGTTCATCTTTTAAGACCTGGAGTTCTGGAGGTAGGCGACTCGTAAATGGGGTGCCCAAATCTGAGCCTGCTGGTTCAGTTATTACTGCAGAGAGGGAAAAGGAGACACATGACTCTTCTAGGGCTGTGGCCACCATGTCTACTTGGCCAGGGACAACTTCAATGTCTCTAGGACCCTGTGGAAAGCGGCCATTTTGACAAACAAAAAGCAGGAGTGGTAAAAGCTAGGCAACAGAAGAAGTCCAAGCAGGTGAGGGAGGAGGTGGGTGGCATCAGACAGCGAGGAAGGAGGAAGGTGAGAAAATGCCATGCGTGGTCAGAGCCCTGAGAACCCTAACAACTCACTGGTGACACGGCCAGCAATAAAGGGATGATGCAAGAGGTCTGGCCAGGACAGACGCTGCCGGGGATCCTTGGTGAGCAACCCCTGCAGGAAGTTCTGTGAGGAGAAATAAAACATCATCAGCCCTTTCTGGCCTTCCCTCCAGGCTCTCCCTAAGCTCTCAGCAGTGCTGACAAGCCAACTCCTGAATCTGTTCTCATAGCCGCTCAAACACACCCTTAACAACCATCCCCTTAGAATTCCAGGCAGATCACTGCCTTCAACTCCTAAGGAGCCATGACTGCTAGTCACAGATGTTCCATAACCCAGAAGTAAAAACAAATATTCATGCCACCAACTTGGAAGAGTAGGGAGGAAAATCTGGGAGAGGGATATGGCACTTTCACAGTCATCTTCAGAAAGCAAAAATTTATAGTCACAGATTGTTTGTGGATGGGTATGATGCATCCGTGATTAAACACATGCGCAAACAAGCCGTGGCTCAAGGATGTGTTTGGGAACACTCAAAAACAGAATTTCAGTGAACTCAGCTGGAGGCAGGACAGAAAAGGTATCTCTGTTAAGAAACCCTTCATTAGACCTGAAATAAGAAGAGAAGGTAGGTGCTGCAGAGATAGCTCAGCGGTTAAAAGCACTTCCAAAGGGCTTGAGTTTGGTTCCCAGCACCCATGTCAAGCAGCTCACAACTGCCTGTAACTAGTTTCAGGAGAGATGCCCCTGGCCTCCAAAGGAACTTGCATTAACACATACACACTTAAATAAAAATGGAAGGATACTCTCAGCTTAGATACAGGGGGGAGGGCTTCAGTCCTGCCCCAAATGATGTGACAGACTTTGATGACCCCCATGAGAGGACTCACCCTCCCTGAGGAGTGGATGGGGGCTGGGATGGGGAGGTGAGGGGGGGAATAGGAGGACTGGAGGGAGAGGGAACTGGGATTGGTATGTAAAATGAGATTGTTTTCAACTTAAATTAAAATACAAAAAAAACCTTTTAAAAAAGAATACTTTTTAAAAATCTAAATAAGCAAACTAAATAGAAGTTATTAATAGGCTCTGAATGCTGTTCTAAAATGTGGTGACTTGCATAACTATAGCTACTGCTGACGATCCCTGCATATCTACCTAAGGAAGAAGGAATATTCTAGGTATACTTCCCTTGCTTAAAGTTCATTTATTTACCTTTTTTGAGAATTATTTGAGCACCCCCAACTATGTAAGTTAGGAAAAACATGTTCCCTTCCATCTTAGATAAGCAAAAGGAAACCTGTAATGAGACTTTATTCTGGGAGAAGACTGTATTGGAATTCCATTGAGGCCCACAACCTTGCCCTGGATAAGAAATGAGTATAACAAACTCTTCTTCTCTCCCCCACCAACCTGCTGGGACAGAGTTACAGTAGGTACCACTTCCTGTCACCCACCCCTAATCACCAGCCATGCTAATAACTGAAGAGCACTGAAAAGTGTGGGCAGTAGCTGCATTGCATCTGATACTGCCCGATAGGGGATCAGTGGAGCTGGGGACACATAAAAGCCCAATAGCTCTTTCCTCGTGTTGCCTTGAAATTACTTCCTACTGTGATAGAACATAGCTTGTCTGCACGATTTTGGAAAAGAGACAGAAATAGAGGAAGGCTGGTTTCTGACATAAAACTACCCCCACCCTTATCTCCTATTACCTTGAAGCAGGAACTGATGGTGGAGGGCCAGCGCACCGGGTCCTTGAGAATGAGGCTAACCAGTTGAAAGATGCTGGTGGTGTAGAAGGGAGGTGTGCCTACAGCCAGCTCGTACAGGATGCAGCCTACAGACCAGAGGTCTGCAGTGTGGTCATATGGTCGCTCCTCCACCAGTTCTGGAGACATATAGAGTGGTGTGCCTTTGATGGATGTCAGCACCATGGTGTTAGTGCTCATAGCTCGGGCAAATCTGCAGAGGTGACAGGATAGAAACGAAAAAGATCTTCCTGACCTAGTCACAACTAGAAAATTATATCGGATGACAATGGCTGATGTCTCAGTGGCAAAGATGCCTGCCGTTGTGCCTGTTGGCTTGAGTTCCACCCTCCAGGACTCACATGGTGGAAGGAGGGAATTGACTACTGCAAGTTGTCCTCTGACCTCCACAAGCATGCCATGATGTACGTGTGCCCACATCTCCACATGAACAATAAATAAACGTCATAAAAATATCTTTAAGAAGAAAATTAAACCTGGCCGTTTACTACCTGTTAGCGCATGGGCTAACCTGAACCAAAAGCAGATGCAGTACCTTTAACCAGTTCCAAGGGCCCAGCCAGAGGCCCAGTCTCCAGCTGTGGTTCTAACAGGAGGCTTTGGGTAGTCTAGGACTCCCTGAAGGACAAGCATAGATGGAAGCTCAGAAACCCTACCCAAAGTCACAAAGTTTGATGCCACCACCCTTGGCGAGGAGAATGTTCTGAGGTTTCATGTCTCGGTGGAGGATGCGGTGAGAATGCAGGTAGTACAGGGCTGACACCAACTGGGCAGCAATGGCCTGAACCTAGGGGTCAGACAAACGAAAGAAAAGGTCAGAGGAGGAAGCCGGCTGACAAGCCAAAGACTTCCAGTGTTGAGGCTAGTTTGATTTTCTGTCCTTTGCCTCTCTTCTAGGGTCTCACATTACACTACATTCTCCTTAGTTCTTGTTCCCCTTAATTCATCCTTTCATTTGTTCAAGGAAAATCTATTGTATCTCTTCTATTGGCCTCATCACCATGAACAAATTATTCTGTGCTTCCCAGAGTCATCATCTATAGACAATAATATGGCACCTACCTCCCAGAGTACTGTACAGATTAATGGAGTTAAAGCATGTAAAACAATGTGCAGAACAGTAGTACCTGGCATGACGGAAATAGTCTGTGCATAATAGCTATTTTAAATAAGGTAAAAAAAAAAAAAAACCCTTTTCTTAATATACACAGTCACTTAAACAAGGTAGAGAAAACAGTATGGTAATTACTTAATTACTTTTTTGTTTGCTTGCTTGAGACAAAAGTGTCGTGTATCCTAGGCTGGTCTTGAACTTGCTATATAGCTGAGGATGACCTTTAACTTCTGATCCTCCTGCCTCTACCTCACCAATGCTGAGATTACATGAATGTGCCACCAAGTCTAGTTTTATGTGGTACTGGGAATCCAACCCAGGGTTTCATGCATGCTAGGCAAGTACTCTACCAACCAAACTATACAACACCAGTTTAAAGTAACTGCTTATAACAGTAATGGAACTTCTGGGGTTGGAGGCTGCCTGCTTGTAAAGGAATACCTAGAATGAATGTAGTTGGACACTCCAACCAAATCCCATTGCCAGCCTCTTTGTCCTAATGGTGACCCCGCTACAACCACAATGCTTCTCTTAGGGCTTTCTCTAATACTAACCTTTCTTCCTTAAAGAAACAATAGCTATAAACAATATCCACAAAATTAATAATAGCTATTTATCATCATGATGAATTAAATCATTAATCTTCAAATAGCCTTACAAGGTACTTTATCAATGAAGTAACTAAACACAAAGACATAAGAGAAATTTGTTCATTAGAACCTAGCTAGTAAGGGGCAAGATTTGTACTCAGATATTGTGGTTCCAGCGTTTCAATATTTATCTCTCACTCCGTACTGCCTCAATGTATACCTAGAGTCTTGTACTCCTCTTGGGGGGGTCTTTAAAAAATTGCTGGTGAAATGGTTCTGTGGGTAAAGGCACTTGATACCAAGCCTAATGACCTGAGTTCAATCCCTGGGACCCACATGGTATAAGGAGAGAACTGACTCTGACTCCTGCAAGTTTTCCTCTCACTCCACACGTATGCTCTGGTTTGCATGTATATGCACACCACACGCACACACACGAACACACACGCACACACACACACACACACACACACGCACACGAGAATGAACTCTTGATGCCCTCAGCTTGCAGTACTAGCCCTTCACCCAAAGAGAGATTCAAAGTACAGGACCATTTGAGCCAGGAGTACCTGATCTTCAGGAAGTTTTCCATCATCTTCCAGAATCTGAAAGAGTTCTCCCTCAGCATAGTCTGTCACCACCACCACCTGCAAGGAGAAGACAGTTTGGCACTGATGGGACAGTCCTTCACTCTGTGGTTAGGAAATGTCTGGGGCTCTTGGGTTTGGAGAGGGGCAACTCCACACCATCAAAACATACCTCTTTGAAGCCAGGTAGTGGTGGTGCACGCCTTTAATCCCAGCACTCGGGAGGCAGAGGCAGGTGGATCTCTGTGAGTTTGAGGCCAGCCTGGTCTACAAAGCTACACAGAGAAACCCTGTGTGGAAAACAAACAAACAAACAAACAAAAAACCAAAAGCAAAAAAAAAAAAAAAAGAAAGAAATAAAGAAAGAAAGAAAGAAAGACAAGAAAACAGACAAAACATACCTCTTTGTCAGTCTCAAAACTGTCAAGCATATGCACAATGTTGGGATGCCACAAACCCCGCATGATTTCAATCTCTCGTTGTAGATTCCTCAGCTCTTTCTCTGAGCGGCCCAGTTTGGGGATGAACTTCAAGGCCACCACCTGTCAGTAGTAAGGTAAAGAATCAAGGCTTAACCATACCATGGAGAAGTGCAAAGAAACTCTCAGACCCAGTGAGCTGCCTGGAAGAGAGATTTCCCATCCTGTCAAGCTGTCAAATAGCGCAGTATGTTCCAGGTATCCAGCACTCATAAGCTGTCACACATGCTGGGGTGAGCTTTGGTGATACCGTTGTCTTTGAGTCATTTTGCTCCTGTAAGTAATCAACAACCCATCACTTGTACTCCTTTAAGTAACCTCAATAAAACTCACTGGTTCTCTCTCTCTCTCTCTCTCTCTCTCTCTCTCTCTCTCTCTCTCACACACACACACACACACTCACACACGCACACACAAACTCAGTGCACATATTCCACGATTCAAGATTTTATACTGCTTAGCCAACTCTTAGTATGCATTCTAACATATGCTAACCTCCCACCTCGACTCCCCCGCCAGGTACTATGGATTCACTCTAGCTTTGCAAGCTATCACCAGGGGGGAACAGTTACTGGCAAACAGGGCCCTTGGATGGATTCAGGGAGTGGTTTTGTGACCCAAGCAAAGGACTTGAGATGAGATTTAGGGGAAAGAGGAGGAAATGTGGAGGAACAGATTTCACGGGTTTATCTTGGGCAATACAAAGAACACTGACTTTTTTTTTCTTTTGTCTTTTAGTAGGTGTCAGGCATTGTACTAAGTGACTACTAAGTGATTAAGTGTGAGACACATTTAATCCTCAGACCCCATCAATCATACCCCATTGTACAGTTTGTGGAAATTGAATCGTAGAAATGATTGGGTAGTTTGTCCCTAGTTCTAAGACTGGGGATCTGACTCCAAGTAATCAAATTTCAGGATCTACACATCCTAGGAAGTATGCTGGAGTCAAGGCCTACAAATATACACCGTGCAACCCTTTTGTCCCAAGTCTCTGCGGATGAAGGGGCACCAAATCCCACTCAAAAGTTATCTTTGTTCACTACCTGAGCACTGTATTTTTTTCGGCCCTTATACACTCTGCCAAAAGAGCCTTCTCCAATCATCTCCAAAACGTGGTACTTTTCCATGGCAAGGGTTTCAGGGTCTCTCAGAAGGTAGAAAGAAAACAGCGGCAACAAGCTGTAGATCCAGGGACAGTTCCACACATCTGGGAAGCCTGGCTTGGAACATGGAAGAAAGATATACGTTATCAGGCATGCCTTTTCCTCCTTTTCACAATAAATCAGGCCTCAAAACCATTATCAGGATGGAAATATGATCAGATCTTGGAAACAGAACGTCTGGAGTCACCCACTCAGGCTAGGTGTCCACAGCACACCATGTCCCCTTCCCCTCTCCACCAGCGACACTCACACGCTTCTTCTATAGCTCCCAAATTAATGATACCCTCGGCTCGCCCAGCACCGCCGCTCTTGACTCCTGTCGTGAACCGAGTGTCCCCAGCTTTCTCCCCACCTAGACGCTCCAAGCTTCCCAGGCCGAGGGCTGGCGATCCGGCCCTCTATAGCCGGGTCCTTCCCCGCCGCCTGCGTTACTGTTCTCCATTCCTCCTTACTGCTCTCGTTAGCTTCCCACTCTTACCAATTTTATTCCCTGGAACAGGTCAGAAGTTTAAAGGACGAAACTCTCAGAGATGTGTAACAGACACGAACGGCCCATTGGCACTTTCTAGGGCACTTCTGTCGCTTGGCTTGACTGTCAGGCCCCACAAAGGACCTAGAGTCTTCAGTTGCCTAGAAACGGTGCCGGCTTTCTTTACCCCGCCCCGCCCTAGTTTTCAGTCTCTAACTTCCCAAAAGGTATTTCCGGTTCCGGCTAGGAGCCGGAGAAGACATGGCGGCGTCTGCGTCGACTGATGCCGGGGAAGAGGACTGGTAACTTTGGGTCATAGGTTTTGGCTGGCTGCCTGGATCTAGTGCTGGGAACTAGCGACAGCTTCAAATCGTCCGAACCGCGGGCGTGAGGGGTGGATCAAGGGGCGAGCGGTGGCAGAGACCCTGACATCCTTTCCTAGGCGACCTACTGGACTGGGAACGAAGGGTGGGGAGACTCTGATCTGAGAAGGGACTGGGTCTGTGCTGGCCTAGCCAGTTGGCCCCACGCCTTATCGACCTAATTGTCCCTCCTACGGCCCTATCCCTCCCACTTCTCCCTGATGTGACTTTCTGGGGCCTGGAGGATGGCTGCTCATCCCCCTCCTGCATCTCGAAACGGACGTCCTCCTCCTCGTGTCCCTCGTGCCCCTAGGAGCCTGCCCTTTGGCCCAGTCAATTTATGCCTATGGCTTCGTCACCTTCCGTACCCCGGACAGCACTAATAACTATTGTCAGAAAAGCCTTACCCCCGCATAAGCTCTCCTACTCTCTCGGGCATTCTTAAGAAGAGACCAAAAGCCTTTAAGGACTTTGGGTTTTGAAGATAAAGATGGGCTCACTTCATATTTAATTAGCTGGATGTGATGCTGACTAGACCAGCTAGCTCCTGTGAGTCGGTATCAGCTGGAGGGGGGGGGGAGTGGGCGTGGCATTACCTCATAGAGTAGTTGGGAGGATCACTGAGATTTGTAATATGCATAAAGGCCTGATCTTCATTAATTGCTGAAGTGTAAGACCTCAAGAGACTAGAGAATCCAAAGGGTATCTCTATGACTCAAGACCTACTCTTAGTACTTAGGTAGCCCACTACCCATCCCCACCCCCTTCAGTCATTTATGACCTTGTCACTCACCCAGTCTGTATCTTTCATCCAAGACCCAGGTCACCTAAGGTGTGCAAAATACTGAAGGATGTCGTAACTGAGGCTGTACCTCAGTGTTACACTGGTTCAGGGAGGCCAGCCAGTGGTTTCCTTTATAAAGCTATGTAGACTAGTGCTCTTTACTGTTGGGGAAAATGCCTAAGATTTTGAAGATTATGAGCCATGAGAGCATAGCAGTGATTACAATAGTCTGTATGTCATCCAGAATGTCTTTTTTATTTGTGACATAATCTTCATATTTTAAGGTTTCTGTGTAAGGCTTAAGAATGCTAATAATAATAATAATAACCACCACTGATGAAGTTCTTACTGGGTGTGCTCCCTTTACATGTCATCTGGGTAGGGCTGTGGACTCAATCACGCATCTTCAGTGTCATTACAACTGTTATTTCTGTGTTTAAATGTGTGCCCTCTGATTTATATCCGGACCACAAACCCTGTAACTAGACATGATGATCGGGTTAACTAGACATCCAGCGTCATGTGTGTATTCACAGTGCTTAGATTATGCCCTTCTCTTTTTCCTTTTAAGGGTGGGGGGAGACCACTTAGACTCGATACTATGTCTCAGACACTTGGGCACTTTATATAAACAAATCATTCTTAGGTCTCACAGTAGCTCTAGTGAGTATGTTGTATTATCTCTAAGTGGTAGACAGTGTAACTCAGACTTCCAAAAATAAGTGACCTGATCATATAGCTGCTAAGTAGTTTCTGCCTACTATTAGCTACAAGGCCTATAGTTTTTCTAATGCAGTATAGCTTCTAGATTACCTAAACATGTTCATCTTGGCATATCCTTTGAGGATGCTTAGACTGACTAGCACTGGCAAGGTTACTGGCAGGGTACAGGGAACTGTGTTGAACAGTAGAATAGGTAGGCAGGAGTGGTATTGGTAACTTTGTTAGTAATGAGTGGATGCCATATATATAGGTCAGGGAGGAAGGATAAGCAGCTATAAAAACTTGAAGCAGGAAGTCAGGGCCTGTCTCTGACTGGTCCTATTCCTCCTCCTGTGCTAAGCCTTGGTTAGTTGTTTCATCTCTCTGGGAATCTATTTTCTCCTGTTGGTAGAGGTGGACGCTAAAATTTTAACTCTCGTTCTTTCTACTTGGCCAATCGACAACTTAAAGAAACATTTCCCCATTTTACCAAATAATTCAGCAAGAGAATATATTGAGGTAGATCAGGGTTTTTTTTTTGTTTGTTTGTTTGTTTTTATTAAGTCAGTCTTCATCAGCCTCGGCAGGCTTCAGCAGGGAAAGCTGCATTAGTGACTCAGTTTCCCCTTACTCTCCAGGGTCCTTCCCTCTGAAGTTGAAGTATTAGAGTCTATCTATCTGGATGAACTACAGGTGATGAAAGGAAATGGCAGGTGCGTATCCTGTTAGGGGTGGGCAGGAGTCTTAGTAATGAGATGATTTTGCACAGAATCTGGGCATAGGGTACCGGGAGCCTTGACTCAGAGGTGATGTTTGTCATATAATCGCTATTCCTTTAGTCTTCCCCCTGAAGAGAAACAAGTCCAAAGCGCATTCCTCTACCTGCTTTACTGTCTCACGCCCTCCTCCCTAGCTGTCAAGCCCCTGCCCAGTCACATCCTGCGTCTTCACTTCATCCACCTGCAGATCTTCACCATGGGAGATCTTTATCACTCTGCACCCTGCCACCGCAGAGGTCCAGGATTCGCAGTTCGTCTGCTTTACCCTGGTGCTTCGGGTCCCAGTGCAGGTGAGGCCTCTGCACGAATGTAAAGGGAGGAAGGGGAGAGTTCCTCAAGTGGGTCACTTTAATGACTATATGTTGCTTTTCTGAACTAGTATCCCCATGAGGTGCCACAGATCTCCATCCGTAACCCCCGAGGGCTTTCAGACGAGCAGATCCACAAGTAAGTTGGGCTAGTTGGGACAGGGAAAACTCAGAAGTCAGTTCTGCCTGCTAAAGGAAGAAGTTTGAATATTGGCCTCATTATTTTTTCCCAGGATCTCACAGGCACTGGACCATGTGGCCAAGGAGGGGCTAGGCACAGCCATGCTTTATGAACTCATTGAGGTAAAGTGTGATCTGGGAAAATGTCCTCCTTTCTGGCTAGAGCATTTCTGCAGTTAGTACATTTAGTCCTTGTTTGCTTACAGCCTCAGTTAGTTTAGAAAGATAACTCCCATGTTTAAAAAAAAAAATCCTCCAAACTGTAGTTGAGTAGCTCCCCCAAATTGTCAGTCCCTCTTTTATTTTGCTGTGGGGCTTTTGTGATTCATCTGTTTTGTTTTGAGACAGGGTCTTGCTGTGACTCTGGCCTGGGACCTTCAGCCATCCTCTTGCCTTGGTCTCCTATATACTAGAGTTGTAGGCGTGTGCCACCACACCTAGCAACTTTTCCTCTTTGGCATACATTTATTTTTCTATTCTGTTCTTTCTTTCCTTTCTCTTTTTGATTGTTTACTTTTTATCTGTTGTTGGTCTTAGTTAGTGTTTCTATTACTGTGATAAAACTCCAGGACCGAAAGTAACTTGGGGAGGAAAGGATTTACTTCATCTTACGCTTTCAGGAACAGTCCATGACTAAGGGAAGTCAGAGCAGAAACTTAAGGCAGGAACCTGGAGGCAGGAAGAGGCCATGGAGTGGTACTTACTGGTTTGCTCATCATAGCTTGCTCATCCTGCTTTCTTATTGAACTCAGGACCATCAGTCCAGGGATGGTACCATCCACAATGGGCTGGACCCTCTCCCACCAATTACCAATTAAGAAAATGCCCCACAGGCTTGCCTTCAGGCCAGTTTTATGAAGGTATTTTTTCAATTGTGGTCCTTCTTAGATGCTTCTAGTTAACCATGATGGGTCTCGCCATGTAGCTCTGGCTGTCTTGAACTAAAAGATCCATCTGCCCCAGCCAGCCAAGTGCTGGGATTAAAGGCATCGGTTCCCACACCCAGCATTTTCTCTTGCTTCAGTTTCAGTACTCTTTCCTGTACTGAGGTTCAAACCTAAGGCCTTGCATATATTAGACAAGTGATCTACTACTGAGCTATATCCATAACATTTTTTAAAATTTTAATTCTGAGAACGAGTCTCATTAAATGAACAAGCAGACCTTGAACTTGTGATGCACCTGTCCCTGTCTTCCAAGTAGTTGGTATTACAAGCCTGTGCCACCAGGACTGGCTTCGGGCAGTTCTTGTTTTCTTGGCACTGGCAACTGAAAGCAGAGATTGACAGAGCTTTTACCTAGGGGCTGGGCATGAGGGATCTTAGTCATAGATGAACACTTGAAGACTAGCTTGCCATTAGAACTGACTAGAAAACAAATGGTTCCTTTTCTCAAAGAGTTTATACTCAGGCTAGCCATGGTGGTGCACACTTGTGATCCTAGCACTTGGAAGGTGAAGGCAAGAAAATCCATGAACTCAAAGCATCCTTAACTACATAGCAAGTTCAAGGATGGCTTGGACTACATCAGTCCCTGTCTTAAAAAAGGAGAAATAAGCCGGGCTGTGGTGATATACACCTTTAATCCCAGCACTCAGGAGGCAGAGGCAGGTAGATTTCTGTAAATTTCAGACAAACCTGATCACAAGTCCAGTTCTAAGCCACAAGTGCTGTGATTAAAGATGTGCCCAGCTGAGAGACCCTGTCTTGAAAGAAAGAAAATTGTATATTCGTTCTGGTTAAGTTAAACAACCCACAAGAAACAAAGGCAGAGAACAAGTATGTAGGTAACTTTTCTTATTTGGGGTTAAAAACACACAAGCAAGGTCATCCTTGTTTCCTTCTCCTGGAGGTTTCTTAGGAAAAATGTTCAGAGTACAATGAAGATGAGTGGCATAGAATTAGTGAGTGGGCATTTAGAGCACAGTAGCACTCTTGGGTCAGATTCTAGTGAAGCTTTCAAATTCTATAGTGTAGCTGTGCAAATACATTTTCATAGACCAATTTGATGCCTTTTGATTTCTGTTCATTTGGTTGTTTGAACAAATGCATTGTTCCATGGGGGAATTATACTTGAAGAATGTTAAGAAAAAGTCTCTGAGGCCCCTGCACAGTTGTGTATGCTAATAATTCCAGCCACCAGAGAGTCTGAAGAAAAAAGATCTCTTGACCCCAAGAACTTGGCCAAGGCAACAAAGCAAGATTCCTGGTTCAAACAACAACAAAAAAGGCATCTCAGAAAATGAAAAATGGGGCGGGTTTGTTTTGTACTTTTGTAACAGTCTCACTGTGTAGCCAGGTTGTCCTCAAATCCAAAGTAATCCTCCTGCCTCAGCTTCCTGAGTGCTAGAATTGAAGCTACCATGTGTGTGTGGGTGAAGAGTTTTGAGAGCCACGTGTTGTGGTACACCCCTTTAGTCCTAGCACTCGGGAGGCAGAGGTTGGCAGATCTCTAATTTCTACAGATTGAGTTCCAGGACAGTCATACAGAGAAACCCTGTGTCAAAACAAATACACACACACACACACACACACACACACACACACACACACACACACACACATTCTCTCACCTTGGAGAGAAAACAATAATCAAAACTCATCTTTTTGTTTTTCAAGACAGTTTTTCTATGTAGTCCTGGCTGTCCAGGACTCCATCTGTAGGCCAGGCTGGCTTTGATCCACCTGCCTCTGCCTCCTGAGTGCTAAGATTAAAGGCATGCACCACAATGCCCACCTAGGAATATTATTTTTTATCTCCAAGTGTATTAAAGGTGCCTAGGTGACAGGAGACATAATTGACTTAGATTTTGAAACCAGGAACGTCAATTGGATGGAATGGGGACATGGAGAGGGATTCTTGCAAGTAGAACATTACCAAGACAGGACTGCATAAGCAGTAGGCAGCAAGCTTGGTAGATGTCATACCCAGCCAGGCACTCCTGGGAGAAGTTCATGGGATGTGTTTAGTCTCCTGCCTCCACATTTCAGTAGCATCTTCTCTCCTTTCAGAAAGGGAAGGAAATTCTCACAGACAACAACATCCCCCATGGTCAGTGTGTTATCTGCCTCTATGGTTTCCAGGTGGGTTTCTCGGCTTCGAGCTGGGGTGACAGGTAAGGGCTTGTGAGCAGTCACTGGTACAGGACTCTGCGTCTGTCTCTCTACAGGAAAAGGAGGCCTTTACCAAAACACCCTGTTACCACTACTTCCACTGCCACTGCCTTGCCCGGTACATCCAGCACATGGAACAAGAGCTGAAGGCGCAAGGACAGGAACAGGAGCCACAGCATGTTGTCACCAAACAGGTAGACATTGCTAGACCCGCTCTCTTGTCTGGTACCCGTACATATCCATCTCCATTCCTCCATTCTAATGGCTTTTTATCATTCAGTTGTAGATACCTTTGAGATAATTCTCACCCCTATCCAGAAAGAAAGGCATCCTTGTGTACATATTGCATGCAGCTTTGCAACATCTCCAGACATTTCCTTAGGCAGCCCTTTCTTCCTCCATCCCATCTCATTGCTGAGCAGCTAATGCTTGTGCCCTTCAATCCTAGCCCTCCAAAGACTGGGCTGGCTGACAAGGAGCAGGATGTGATTTCTCCTCTTGTTTTAGAAGGCAGTCGGTGTGCAGTGTCCTGTGTGCAGGGAGCCCCTTGTGTATGATCTTGCCTCGCTGAAAGCAGCCCCTGAACCCCAACAACCCATGGTAAGGGATTTCCTTCTGGTCTAAGCCAGGAATAGTGGCATTCTCTGTGGAGAGAGAAATGGCATCTTGTCTCTACTATTCTCTGGAGTTGGGTTTGACTTGCTTAAAACTACTCTGCAGAGCCACAGCCCCCAGCAGGAGCCTAAGACTTCAGAAGCCCAACTCTGAGGAACAAAACCAAGAACTCAGACTGGGAATGTGGCTCATTTGGTAGTGTACTTGCCCAGCACACACAAAGCCCTAGGTTTGATCCCCAGCTCTGCATTAAAAGTCCTGGTATTGGTACAGTGGTACACTTACTTAATCCCAGCACTCAGGAAGTGGAGGCAGGAGGATAAGCAGTTCAAGGTCATGCTTGGCCATATGGTAAGTTTGAGGCCAGTCTGGGCTTTATGAGACTCTTGTCTAAAACAACACCAGGAACCTTGTGCAGCTCTCCTAGGACAGTCCTAGAAGAGTTAGGGTTCAAGTTGTCTGCTTTCTCATCTTGGTTTTATTTTCTCCTGCCATTCTACTTCCTTTCTTCCAAGGAGCTGTACCAACCCAGTGCAGAGAGCTTGCGCCAACAGGAAGAGCTTAAGCGGCTGTATCAGAGGCAGCAGGAGAAAGGTGGCATCATCGACCTTGAGGCAGAAAGGAACCGGTACTTCATTAGCCTTCAACAGGTGAGGAAAGGGTTCTCCTCTTGACCTCCATGCCTCCAGGGTTCTTGTGAACACCATGGTGCTAGGGTGTGCTTCATTCTGTCTAAGGAGGTTACAGATTGGCTGGTAGTGGAGAGGGTCTTCCTTGATGCATTGCCTCTCTTCTTCCTAGCCTCCTATTGCTCTGGAACCTGAGTCAGTTGTAGATGTCTCCAGAGGACCCCAACCACCTAATGCCCTTTCTGCAGAGCAATCTACTTCCCTAGCTGCCCAATCAACTGTGCCAACTCCTCTACCCATGGCTACCCAGTATGTGTATGAGAAGATTCCAGGGGCTGGCCCAAATCAACAGAGGCTGGGTGAGACCCAGAAATCCATGCTAGATCCTCCACGATCTGGTCGTGGTTCCTGGCGACAGTATGATCGGAGGCGTCAAAAAGGAGGGGAGTGCTGTGCCCCAAAAGGTACCAGTGACATCCAGGAACTACCACCTCCTGAGAAGCCTCTCAAGGAGCCTATGGACTTAAAGCCAGAGCCCCGTAACAAAGGGCTCACAGGTCTTCCTCAGAAGGGGCCTGGTAGCTGGCAGGGCCCCACAGCTCGAAGGACTCGGGACTGTGCTCGATGGGAACGCTCCAAAGGCCGCACACCAGGTTCCTACTCCCACCTACCTCGGGGCCAAGGAGCATACAGGTCTGGTACTCACAGGGGACCCATGGGCTCGGAATCTGAGGAAGGTTCCTAGCAGTACTGTGGGGGGGGACAGGGAATTGGGGATGGGAGGGAGGCAATAAAGAGATTTGGCCTTTGCCTAACAGCATCTGTCTTATATGGTATGGCTTTTTCTTTCTAATTTATTTTTCTTTTATGTGGGTTGGTGTTTTGCCTGTGTAAGTGTCTTTGTGAGGGTATCAGATCACGTAGAGCTGGAATTACTGACAGATGTGAACTGGGTATGGCTCTTTCTAAATTGCTATAAGGTTTGGGTATGGCAGGGAGCTCCCAACCTTGCTCTAAGTCTGTTCTCTAAAAGCACTAGGGTGGAAAGGGTCTTACTTGCTGGTCAGTTTTGAGGTTGACATTTGGGCAGAATCCTTAGGAAGTACCATAACATATAACTCTCTTATCCATACAGACATGCACTGTTGACCTGTTGGTTGTTTTGAGATAAGGTCCCACGTAGCCCAAACTAGCCTCAAGATTTATACAGCTGAAGAACCGCTGATCTTCCTGTCTCTACTTCTTGAGTGCTAGGATTACAGGCCACTGCCATCATGGCCAGTCTGCAAATGCTAAGCATTGCTACCTCCCAAGCCCCTTTGTTGTTTTGAGTGGAAATATGGTCTCACTATGTAGTTCAGGTTGGTCTTGAGTTTTTAGCAACCTTAACTACCTTAGCTCTGGAATTAAAAGTGTATGCCACATGGCACACCTTCATACCAACATTCAGGAGGCAGAGGCAGTAGATATCTGCGTTTTGAGGCTAGCCTGGTCTACAGTGTGAGTTCCAGGACAGCCAGGGCTACAGAGAAACCCTGTCTCAGAAACAAAAACAAACAGAAATGTGTGCAGCAACATGAGGCAACAGCGCCTCTTACTTGCTGGCCTTTCATGAAGGCCTGCGTTTTTCCCATTAGCACCCAGTCTCTTCTTCCCCTCTTCCAGGCATGGTCCCATCACTGGCGTGTGTGTCTCTTGTAGGCACTTGCTACTGCAACTCCTGTTTTATTCTCAAGTATAAACACAGTGAGGGAGGGGGGAAAGTCACAGACCGGATTAGTGTGACAGGTGTTTACGGATTCTTTTGAGAGCAGACAGTGGCCTGGTGGATCACCTCAGAGATTCAACATTGTCAATAGCCCCCATGGGGTCATTTTTATACAGCATGAAATAGCCTTGCACCTGGGCAGGACTAATCTGGGATGTAGCTTTAAGGACATGTTCTGCAAAGTTCTCAGCCAAGGAAGGCGCTTGCCCTGGATAGAACCTCTGGAACATCTGGGTCAGCTGCCAGTGTGAGCAGTAGCCCACATACTCCTTCAGATCTACTCGCCCGGGACGTATCAGGGCAGGATCCAGCCTAAGAGGAAAAGCAGAATCACAGCCAGCCGTGCTGCTAGCACCCAGAATAGACAATCTCCTCAGTCCCCCAATTTTCCTGCCTTCCTCCTCACCTGTCAATGTGATTGGTGGTCATGAACACAATGCGTGCCTCAGTGGAGGCTACACCATCCAAAGCATTGAGCAGTCCGCTGAAGGTGAGACGACCTAGACCTTGGTACTTTACAGGGTCTAGGGGATGACAGGGATGTGAATGGTTAAATTCGTGCTCCATCCCCACTGTAGCTCCCTACTTAGCAGTACCTCTTGTTGCAGACTCAGTCCTCCAGAAAGTCCTGCTAACACACGTACTCCCTGGGTCAGGGAGATGGCTTTGTAGTCAAAAGTGTTAGCTACACCAACCTGATCTCAGAATCCAAGGAAAAAGCTGGATGCAGTGGCACATACCTAAATCTCACGATATGTTGACGGTAGAGACAGGAGTATGGCAGAACCAACAAGGGAGCCCCGCCTCCCTTGCAAGGTGAGAACAGACTCCAAACAATTGTTCTCTGACCTCTACGTGAATGTGCCTGCACACGCACACACGGAACTAGCTAAACAAGAGACTCCTCCCCAGCATCCTCACTTACTCTCCACGGCCAAGTCTCGACTGAGGAAAGCAGCATCCACATCCTCGAGGAGCACCAAGCTCTGCTGCGGGGCTACACTGAGCAGATGGTTGAGTCGGTCATCTGAGAGGCTGGAGTCTGTGAGGCTGAGCAGGCAGATACTGTGCTCCAGTTCTCCAGCCACAGCTGTTCTGTGGACAGTGACACAGAAAGAGGTCCTAGGCAACCGGAAGACTCTTTGGGACTCCTGGAAGGTATGGCTCAGAGGCCTAAGTCTCCTACACCACCCACCTGATGTTCCATATACCTCATGTTTACCCTGGGTATTAGTTCCAGGATTCGTGTCTCTTTTCCAACCCTAGCAGCACAGTTTTTCTGCAAAGGGTGTTTTTCAGAGTTGAGAGAATTTAACTACTCACATAAAACTGCTCTTTCCACAACCAGGGGGCCCATAAAGAAGGTAGCCACGTCTGTAGGGAATGCCTAGGGACATAACCAAGACAAACAAGACCTAAAGCGAATCCTGTACTCTGGCTCAGGTGTACACATCTCCCCTTACCTCTGTTCCGTATTAGTTTGGTGGGTTTTTTTTTTTTTTTTTTTTTTTTTTATCAGAAATTGATATCTCCATAGACTAGCTTTCTTTTCCCTTCTCCTGAGCTAGAATTTTCTGTCACCTCATGCAGCTACAGACTAGCTCAGATCCCTAATGGGAGATGTCATTCTGTAAATATGTTTCTCTTATTGACTAATGAATAAAGCACTGTTGGCCAATAGGAAAGCAAGATAGGTGGGACTTGGAGACAAGGAGGATGCAGGAAGTAGTAGGGAGGAGTTTCAAGATGTAGGACCAACAGGGTAGTACATCAGGCTCTCTCTCCAGTAAGATAAGACCACGTGGAAATACTTAGATTAATAGAAATGAGTTAATATTTAAGACAGAGCTAGCCAATGAGAAATGCTAGTAACAGGCCCACAGCATTTTATCTAATACAGCATCTCTCTGTGTTATTTGGGGCTGGCTGCAGCTCTGGGACCAGGCCAGTGGAAAAACATACTCATAACAGATCTCAGCTGCTTCTTACCTCTGTCAATGTACCACTTGGGGTTATCAATGAATTCCCGGATATCTTTGACAATTCGGTCAGCCAGACCCTGCTGTAGGACTACAGAATCCAGTGGCCTGCGGCGGCGTGGATAACCAAAGGTACGCCATTCAGAACCCACAGCTGTGTACATCACTGTCTTCCCCTCCTCCTGCTGTAGGGCTAGTGCTCGAGCTGAGAGCAAGGAAATAAGACAGTAGGTCTTTTGATCACAGCTGATTCTTCAACTGGTACCCTCCTCCCATGTACTCAGATCCTTACTACTCCTCTCCAAGGAGCTAATGCCCAACCTCCCCACTCCTGAAAGCTCCACCAGAAGCCTGCCTGTCCCATCTCATACCTTCTTCCAGGATATTGAAGAAAACCTTCCGGTCAGTGCCCAGGGCTGTAAAGGTGACAGATTCCCAGGGAGTTCCTGTTTGCAAATCTACCATCTGCATGTCTCGATTTCGTTGGACCCGGATCCATTTGCCCTGATACCTGAATAAAACTGTCAAAGTGACCCAATATCCTCCATTTATCTGACCTATCCGCAGAACCCGTCCTAGCTTACAGTCTTACCAAATGAAGTGGTTTCCAGGGCTGGGGATAAATTCGAACTTGGTGGAGATTCGGCCACTCTCATGCTGAAGGTATGAGGTCTCAACACTAAGGTGCTGAGTGCGGGTACTGTGTCGGGTGAGCCAGCTAAGCAACCAGGCATAGCTTCTGTCTCTAGCAGGGACTTCCAGTGTGATCATATAATGGCGCCGGAATGCCACTAGACCCAGTTGGGCTCCTTTCCGGGCCACAGCCAGAACGGTGCCCACACCTACCAGTCCAAATCCAGCCCCAAAGTAGGGATTGTCTTTTAGGGCCAGAACAAAATCTGTAAATGGCATCTTGAAAGGAAAAAAACAAAAAACAAAAACAGTTGCTTACAGGCCCAGAGGCACTGTCAAAACCTAGGAGTGGAGAGCGGCAGAGCTGGGAGAAAGGATAAGACGAGTTTAGAAACCAAACCCATCCAGTTTGCCCCATTTCCTCCCACAGGCGCAAGATGGGCAGGTCAGCAGTACTTCAGTATCTTTTTGTGGAGTAGACATGGTGTTGGAATGCCAGAGCAAACACCCCAGGCTCTCCAATCCATTTTGCTCTTCAGATAGAAGACCTTTTTGCCAGGAGACCATGTTTGGAGATTTTCTCAACTCCAAAAAGCATTGTAACCAGCTTCACATCAGGAAAGAAGAAACACAAAACTTTGGTCCCTGACAAGAGCAAAGGTGATTTTTCCATTGGTCTATCAGTGACCTTATCATTAAAATTGTCCTTCAAATATCCTCTTTTACACCCAGATCCTAATGGTCTGTTCAGACAGACCTTTATTACTTCCCACCTAAACTTACTGCAAGTTAAGTATTAGTTCTTGAAGTGGCATTTGGATTGACCTTCAGAGCTTGTATCATCCAGCCACCACACCCAGACCCTATCCAATTCTGTCACATTTTTACTCCAGCACCCTCGGAGACTTTTCCCCATTGGATTCCAACACAACCGGATACACAGGGACGTCCACATTAGTACATCTACCTTTACTAGCAGTTCAAGCAGTTCAAGAAATATGCAATTACTACCTACCTCTGGCCCACTCAGTTCTGTTGGTTCCGAATGCCCCTTTCTTAATTCTCGGCATTCTTAATGAGATCTCATAGGCTACTTCCTCCACGGAGCCTTTTCCAAACTCAACCCAGTAAGACGTGACTAGGCCTAACCGTAGACAATTCCCAAGGGGAAAAGGATGAATTATTTCCAGCACACCTCTCCTGCGACACTCCACCACCGCTACTTTGTCCTCCTGGCAGGCTGGGTCACCAGTGAATTGACAGCCGTGACTTCCACTAAGGCTCGGAGCTGGGATCCATGATTCCGAAATACCTTTGCATAGAGAGCCACTGACGAAGCTCTTCTGACTCCCGGTTCCCGAGCCTGACACGCAGCAGCTGACTCCCGGACAACCTACTCAACAAGGCTCGCGCTCCCAGGAACGTGGTAGCGAGTCTGTCACTCCGCCCCCTTACCGCCAGGCCTCTCTAGCCCTCAGACTCGATGATAATACCAGGCTACACTTGGAGGTAGCGCCGCTAGGCCCCGCCCCTGAGCTCACATCTACTTCCCGCCACACCCACCACAAAGTCCGAGCCACTCTGCCCTGCAACTCTCGCTGGTTCCGCTTTGGGCTTCGGAGCTAGGGTACTCAAGGACATGTTGGGGGGGGGGAGACCATAGAGTAGCAGCTGTCGCGAGAGACAGAGTGGCCGCCACACGTCAGATTCCCAGAGGCGCGTGGGCCGTGGGCGGCCGCACCAAAGGCCCCTGAGGAGCCGCTCCAGTCTCAGTGAGACCATAGAGATGCAGCTCCCGCCGGCCTTGGGGTAGAAGGTGAGAGAGCGGCTGTCGGCGGGAACCAGGGGAAGTGCGGGTGCTGCGAGCTGTTGGTAAAAGTTTCTCTAGCCCCAGCATGAGTGGGCATGCGAGGTGGGACCCCATGGGAGGAGGTGCTGAGGGGATCACGCCCACGAGAGGGGCCTGGGCGCATCTTCGCGTCACCGCTCTGGGCCCCGCCCGGGTATCCGCTGCCTCTCCTCAGGACCATAATCGTGACGATGCATCATTCCAAGCCTTGCAGGTTCCAAAACGCCTTTCTCCTTCGCTGGATCTTGTAACTTGGCTGTCGCCGCCTCCACTTTACCGATAGCAAAGCTAAGGCCCCGAGAAGCAAGGAGAGTGCATCTTTCAAGGCCACACGGTGAGTCAAAATCCAGAAGCCCGTGGGAGCCCAGGTACCTAGTCCGGGTCGCCTTGTTCCCTAGGCTTTCGTGTTCCTTGGTTTTCTGTTCTCAAAGAAAGCACGTTACTTCTCTCTGGCGCAATCCTACCTAAAGTGCTTCATCTACTTGAGGCTGGGTGATGGAGCTGGAAGATTGGCCAGAGCAGCAATTATAAGTAGTCGGTGAAAGCTGTAGCTTTCAAAGAGCCTCTTTGACTACGGGAGCGCTCTTCCATGACACCTTCTGAATTTCTGTCTGCTCTTGCTGTTTTTGAGTAGAGGGATTCTGCAGAATAAGGAATAGAGGCTGTCACCTAGCTGATACTCAACCTTGGTGACCCGATTTCATCAAGTAATTATTGTTATTCAGTTTTGTTTGTTTTGGTTTTTCAAGACAGGGTTTCTCAGTAACAGCCTTTGCTATCTTGGAACTCACTTTGTAAAGCAGGCCGACCTCTGCCTCCTGAGTACTAAGAATTTGAAAGATCACCTCATTTATTTCAATAGTGTCTAACAGGGTGGGTAATTTAATTCGTTTCTCAGTTGTGTTAGGTTCTAGAGACCTTAGGAAGTTAGTGAATCTAAAAGTTACCTTGCATTTGAGTAGCCACTGGTTTGTTACCTTCGTTTAAGATCATCTGGATTTGGAGCTAGAGAGATGGCTCAACGGTTAAGAGCACTGACTGCTCTTCCAAGAAGGCCTGGGTTCAGTTCCCAGAACCCACATGGTGGCTCACAACTGTCTGTTCATGGGGACCTAACACCCTCACACAGACATACATGCAGGCAAACCACCAATGCACATAAAATAAAAATACACTTTTTAAAAATATATCTGGGTGTACTTCAATCCATCTAGTCACTGGAATTTTCTTTTGTCTGATTTGTGTAGCTTGTTGGTGCTTTGTGTTCATCGAAATGAAAAATGTTAATATACTACTCAAAGCTCCACATCCAACTCATTTGTAGACTACTTGCCTAGCATGTACAAAGCCCTGGGTTTGATCCCCAGCACCACGTTAAAAAAAGAAAAGATGTGTGGTTTGAAAAATGGTTCATGGTTGGGAGTGAATGCTGCTCTTTCTGGGGACCTGAGTTCACTTTCCAGCATCCATTTCAGGCATCTGACAACCAGTCCAACTTCAGGGGATCCAATACCCTCTTCTGGACACTTACTTCTGGACCTGCACTCATATGCACATACCAACACAGGTGTTGTGTACACCTGGACTCCTAGCACTGGGGTCATAGATAGAGTACTAGGAGTTCATTCCATATTTGAAACCAGTTGAGCTATCCATCTAGGAAGGGAGAGTGATAGGGAAACAATGGTGCAGTGTGGTTTCTGATAGGGCTATATCTAAAGGCTGTAAGGACCCAAAAGAGAGAAAATTAAGAATGTTAAAAAGCATTCACAGCAAAACTGGTATTTGTTTCCTTAAGGAGTAGGTATATTTGATTAGACAAGAGATTGGGATGGATTGATTGAATGGAAGAGCCAAGAAAGTGGAGATGTCTTCAAGCAAAAAAGAATGTATGAAGTCAGAAAATGGCAAATCATCTGGTTAGGAGGACAGAGGGAAGGAGGAAGGGTTGTCTGGAGAGGCAGGTCAACAAGGACCATAAGTGAAGGAATTGTTTTATATCTACACTGAGAATAATGAGATCATCAAGTAAGAGGGACAGATCCTTCGGCCCCATTTAGTTTAGTTGCAGTGGTCACTTAGCAAGAAACAATATACAATCTTTAATACTTGCCTCAACTTGTTGATTCTCTACTAATACTGACTTCATTCTCATTTTATGCTCTGTGTTGAATGTTGCTTTGACAATATTTAGGATAATAATGTATGGCATGTTGCCATGAAAGGAAATGCCTAAATGGGTGGGCCAACTTCAGAGAAGTTAAGAGTTCTAATCGTGTGTGTGTGTGTGTGTGTGTGTGTGTGTGTGTGTGTATCTGTATTTTATGTGTATATATGTGTGTGTGTGTGTGTGTGTATATATATATATATGTGTGTGTGTGTGTGTGTGTGTGTGTGTGTATATATATATATATATATATATATATATATATATATATATATATATAATTTTTTCCCCCTGGTTACTTGTCAGCATTTAGGAGGCCACAGCACACAAGTCAATAATAATGACAGACCCTGTGTTGGCATCCCAGCTGGCTAACGGCACTGGAGAGATGGATGGACTGTGCTCTGAGCTATTGTTGATTCCCCCACCTCTCTCAAACCATGGAATCCTGGGCCCTGTCCAGAATACCTGTGCTTCTGGAGAACCTGCCTCTTTACCTGCTGACCCAGGCTGCCTCCTGGTAGAGGCCACAGCTACTGAAGAGGGTCCAGGGAACATGGAAATCATTGTGGAAGCAGTAGCTGGAACCCTGACCCCAGGAGCTTCTGGAGAGACCTCAGGTACAAACATAGTTGCTACCAGGCCAGTGAGTTTTTTGTCTGTGCTACTTTTGATCCTTCTCTTTGAATGTGATGAGAACACAAGGTAGTATGCTATTTTTATACTTGGAGATGTTATAATTTGGTTTGGAGTTGATGCATGTTGATGGGAGGCTGGCAAGGTAGCTTGCACCCTGGTAACAAACTTTTGGCAGTTTTCCCTCTGAGAGCTTTGTGTCTGCTAGGTAGTAATCCAGAACAGAAAACCTTTCTGACACCTCTACCTATTCTGGCTTTTCCTTGCTCAGACAGTCCTTGAGGAGTCTTTCTTCCATGCTGACCCAGGCCAACCATCCTGAGTTTGGCAGGGCTTTCCAGAAGTAACTGGTATTCTTTGCCCTAGTTTCATGCGTTTAACATACTCTATTGTTAAGAGTTGGGCATTATCTCAATAGAAAGTTTCTTTTTATTCTTTCTACATCTAAAATTAGGCAACTTGACCATGTAAGAATTCTAAACTGAGCTGGACATTGGTGGCACATGCCTTTAATCTCAGCACTCTGGATGCAGAAAAAGGAAGATCTCAGTGATTTCAAGGTTAGCCTGGTCTACAGAGGAAGTTCCAGGACAGCTAGGGCAACACAGAGGAAACCCTGTCTTGAAAAACAAATCATAAATTTCTCTCTGGGAGACCAAAAAGAACATGAATGTACTATGTGATGGCACATACTTTTAAAAGGATAGCCTGTG